CACAAAAGGCCTAAGAAAGATATCGAGACTTTTTTTTTTTTTTTTTTTTGCGGTATGTGGGCCCCTCACCGCTGTGGCCTCTCCCGTTGCGGAGCACAGGCTCCGGACGCGCAGGCTCAGCGGCCATGGCTCACGGGCCCAGCCACTCCGCGGCATGTGGGATCCTCCCGGACCGGGGCACAAACCCGTGTCCCCTGCATCGGCAGGCGGACTCTCAACCACTGCGCCACCAGGGAAGCCCCATTCGAGACTTCTTTGAAAACTAAATTCTGAAAGGAAAGAGCTCAGCAACAGTGGGGGTCGGGGGGAGGAAAAGGAAATGAATATTGAGGGACCAGCCCAAGACTGAAGGCTCTCCAAGCACAGAGCCCTGAATGGAATAAGCCCACCAGGCCTCAGGGCCTGGCATTTTCAAGAGACACCACAGCCTTGGAGCTGGCCTGAAAGTTGGGCTAAAATCCCTATTTCACCATCTGGTAATCATGTGACTGAGGGCAAGTCGTTTGACTGCTTAGAACTAGATTGCTCAGATGTAAAGCAGGGATACCAATCATATTCCATCAGGCTAATGGGAATATGAGGTTAATTTATAGAAATCACCTACCTATTGCCTGACATACTGTGGGCCCTCAATAAAGGTTAATTTTGCCCACCCTACTCCCAGCGTTGTTTAGATGGGTCTCTAGGGCTATAGGTATGTCCTCTACCATTTGGCTTCTGCACTTCACAACAGGTTTTTCATATGGGTGCAGGGTGGACTCAATTACCCCCACCCCAGGGATGGCAATCTTTTTGTTTTTTGCAAGAGACAAATTTAGGTTAAAATTAGTAAGCCAAAAATTTGCTACAAGGGGACCAACGTTGGCATGTCAAGTTCAAGTTGTGATTCCTGTTGATTCAGTGACCGCTGATTGAAGAATGCAGTTCAACAAATGTTTGAGCATCTATCCTGTGCCAGGCATTGTTCTAGGACACAGTGGTGAAATGAATTGACATCCCTGCCTTCAAGAAGCTTGCCTTTTACTGAGGTGAGACCAACAGCAAAGGGCTTCTTCCTAGGTGAGACCGAGTTGCATTTCCTGCTTTTGTAAGCTCATGGTGTGGTGTGGTAGGCGGGGAGAAGAGATAAGCAGGTGTGTGCGTGCGCACAGACACTATAATAAAATAGGAAGCCTTAGGAAATGCCACAAGAAAGGGCTAGATAAAGAAGATCAGATTTCCTGTGGCTGGGGGATGCAGGAGCCATCTGCACTCGACCAGGATCCAGACCGCAGAGGGGTGGGTGGGGTGGGGGGCCAGCGTGGTTTGGGTGTGGCCACCCAGCCATCCCAGAATGATACAGTGAGCTCCACTCCAGCTCCCCACTCGGCCGCAGCAGTCTCATGCAGCTGTTAATCTCTCCTATGACCTTGAAGCTGGGGAGACAGCAGGACTCAGGTGAGTTGAGGGGCCTTGGAGCCAGGTGGAGAACTGCCAGAGGTCACAGGCCTCATGTGCAGCCCTTCCTGGCTGAGCAGAAACCTGATTGTGGGGCATCTACCTTGTCCAAGAGGTGAGTATGTGGGGTTTGCACCTGGGGTGTGTGGTCCATCAGGCAGAGTGACGAGGGGTGGTCTCATTTGGGGACACACACTTGTCTTACAAATCAATAACTGTAAAGCTGTCTGTTGGCCTTAGGCAGTGAATTCAAGCAAAGGGCTGATAACCTGCTTATATATTCATGAGTCTACCCAGGACAAAAAAGCTCTTTAAAATAGTTTTACAACATGAAAGATTATTTTTAAGAACCCTAAATCAGCATTACCTTTATCAAGAAAAGCCAGATTTTGTGCTGTGCACAGCCTTAATCAACACATCTTTCTCAAGCTTATAGCCCCAGCTCTGCCATTCTCAACCCTGGATACCGATTAGGATCACCTGGGGAGCTCTTAAAAATACTGGCTTCCAAGCCCTTGCCCCCTGAGTTTCTGACTTAATTGGCCTGGGGAGGGGCCTAGGCGCTGACTGGTTTTTTAAAGTTCCCCAGGTGATTTTCATGTCCTGGGTCAAGAACAGGGTCAAGACCATTGTTCTGAAGAAGCAGGGAGTGAAGTAGGCCCCTCTAAACATGGACTCCCCCCACCTTCCTCAACAGGGACTTTCAATAAATCATAGATTGTCAGAGATGCACTAAATAGGAAGATGAAAATTCTAACTAGTTAGGAAAAACATGTGCCATACCTAGGGCCCATTGGGTCAACTTGCCCATTGTGTACCCACCAAGGTCAAAGCTAGTTGTCTAGGATGGTTTTTGATGTTGATGGTTAATCAGTAAAAATGACACCAGTTGAAATGCATTACTGTGGGGGCGGGGGGTTGGCAGGGACCGCAGTGTCCATTTCCCAGGAAATCACAAGTGAATGACCATCTGACAACTCTGGCCGAATCCCTGGGCCCTCATCAGGGGTGTTCTTTCCTAGTGTCCACCTGCCCCCAGCCTTCCCGCATCCACATTTGGCAGGTACAGGCCTTGCCGGGCTTGTCCTGAGCCTCTCCAGCACTCAGTGCTGCTGCTAAGGAAGCTCGCTGGGAGTGAGGACTCGATTCCCGCTCCACGTGAAGCCCCTCGGACTTCCTGCTGTAGGGCTCCATACCCTGGGGACTCGCACCCAGCCAGAGGGATCGCGTCTGGGGGGCAGACTCCCTTTGGATCCAGCCCCTTCCCCACTTTAGCACAAATGCATTCCGGATGGCAAGTGTCATCTTGCAGCTGAACCCTTGGTGACCACCGGCAGGAGATCCTTTGGGATATATATTAAGGAGGTCAGTAGCTTATTTCAAGTGTCTGGTAAAGGGGCAACAAGATGATGGGGGAGACCCTCTCTCTGGGCTTCTGGGATCCTCTGGACATTTGCCCTGTCGAAGCCTGAGTTGTGATGAATGCAAATGACCAAATCCAACTCTCTTTGGGTTTCCACCTTCTGATCCCAAGCAACCCTTCCCCGCAACTCCTCCTAATGCCCTAACTTTTTTGTTTGTTAATAAATTTTAGCGCCTGCCCTTACTAAAAAGCATTGCCTTAAATAGTCAAGAATGAGTTGGTTTCTTCCCCCACCCCCACCTTTCTTTCCTGGTAACTAAAGAGCTGGGGGAAGGGTGGGGGGCAGAATACACACACACACACACACACATTTGCAGAGCAATGTTAATGTCCTCTGAAATGCTTCTTTCACAAGTTCCCTCTCTCGACCATCAGAACACTCATTGAGGAGAATTATCCATCTGGCAGATGATAAAACCAAGGCACACGGGCCTGAGGTCGTGAGGTAGGTGGTGCAGGGCCAGGTCCAGGCCTCCTTTGACTCTTATCCTGCCCACTCCCTCCATGTGTCTAGGGCTGGACCCAATTTGGGGGATGGGGTGGGGGAAGCTGAGCTTTTAAAGCAGTTCCACGATTCTAGGTCCCCTGACCCCAGCTCCAGTATCAGGTCAGAGGCTCCTGAGCTCCAAAAGCTGCCATTAAGGAGTATTCTGATTAAGAATGCACTGTGGAGTTCAAAATCGAGCAGAATGACCACGTTTTTCCTCTATTTTTTTCAAGAAAGACAAAAAGGTTTACAGGAAAGTTAGAAAAACTGAAGGTGTATTTAAAAGTGAAAAGCTGGGGCTAGGAGAAACAATGGGTTTGGCTCCTTGGTCTCTTGGAGAGCACATAGGCTGAGTCATCAGGGTGAAGAGCACATGGTCATGCCTGTGACTACAGGACCGAATTTCTGTTAGAATCACTGCTTCAGTTTGTGTTGATGCAGCAGGAATGAGCTCAAGCCACCCTTGTTTTGGAATCTTTTCCAAGTTTGGGTGGAGGGATCAAGGGTTGATGGAGATTTATTTTCTTTATGAGAAGAGGAAGAGGGGGAAAAAAGTGAAATCTCTTTTTATCAGATAGTGACTACTGATTATAATTCTCCTTTTTACCTTGGCTGCCAGGAAGCTAACACATGGCACTCTCCTGCCTTAAATGTTTGTTTATCTCTTTTTGCCTTTATTCTAACTGTGCTACTTCATACATCCCACTCCATCATTACCCCAGCCAGAGGAAGTCATCCCTTCTCTGAACCCATGTAGCATTTTATCAGGGATTTCTGCCTTTGGGCCTTGGGTTGTGGCTGTTGTGGTCGTTACCTCCTCTGAGGAACTATATGCTACTTGAGGACATTGTGCCCTGTCCTTCTGTGTATCCTCCAAAACAGCCAGGCTGTGTCTAATACATTATTAATACCTACAATTACTGTGGAATGAATGTTGGCTAAAAAGACTTTTTTAAAAAAGCAAGTCTAACCGTGAAGAAAAAGGAACGAGGAGTTGTTCCTTTAACAATGAAAATATCTTAATCATCAAACATGTTTCCCTTTTGCTTTAGCTGCCAGTAGCTTCAAGGTACTTCAGTGTTCAACTGCTGTAACACTGTCCGGATAGAAGGACCAGGATTGCAATAGACACACTTATGTGGTTTGCAAGGCTCAAGAGAAATCTCAGTTTTCTTGGTCCTGGTTGCTTGCAGAGGTTGCAGTCAGCCTCTGGCTTCCCAGATCTTTCCAGTGCCAGACACCTCCATCGTTGCCCTTCCCCCTACACTGTATACAGGGTTTTGTGTCTGCTCCCCACTTCCTCACTACCATCAAGTCTGTGCGCCCCCCCTGTGGGCAGGGACCCAGCCTCCATCATTTGCAGCCCTGGGCCTCTGCATGGCGCTGGCCCAGGGCAGCCATCGGTCGGGGAGGATGTTTGCCCAGGCTTGTCATCACTGCCTCAAACCCTCGGAGCCACATCCAGAGGAGGAAGCTCGCCGAGTTCTGGTATCGTTGCTGCAGCTGGTGTTGTGAATCAGGCCGACGAGCAGCGCATCCTCTTACCCGGCTATTTCACGACACCAGGGTTGCATCATACCCATCCTCTCCAGGCGAGCCTCGTGGGACCGGGGCGGATGTGGACGTGGGGATGGGGCGGGGGTTGGTGTGGGGGTGGGCAGTCTGCGTGTGAAAGATTGTTCTCTTTAGCCCACTGGGTCTCAGCCTGACTGCCCAGTTCCAGCTGGGGAGATTTCTAAGAATACTGATGCCGGCCCCTCACCCCCTTTTCGGCCCCAGGCCCATAGCATCTCCAGTGGGGGAGTCAGCATTTGTCAGAGGCCCCAGTGAGATGGTTGAGTATTGTGTGCAGTCAGGGATGAGCCCGAGGGCTCAGAGCTGTGCAGTTGTCTGTTCTGCCTGACTGTCACCAGAGCCCCTCCCGGCCCTCCCTGGCCCTGTTCTTTCTTCCTGGCACTGCTCACCACCCCACTATGCTCCCCACCAGCTTTCCAGAAACAGATGAGATCTGATTCCCCAGGACAAAGGCCAGTCTCCTACCCTGGCATTCAAGGCCCTCCTTGCCAGGGGTCCCTACTCAGAAATGACACCACATTTCCCCTATAGAGTCCTCCCTGTTCCCCTCTTCTCTCCAACTCCTGTCCTACATGAATCCGTGTGCTGATTCTATCGGCTCTGCCTTCAGAATATATCTCAACTCCCAACACTTCTCACGACCCTGCCATCCACATCTACTCCCCAGCCCGGCCACCACCTTCATGCACCCACAGTGGCCCCACTAGTCTTGCTTTGCCCTTGCCTCCCTCCATCCAATCTCCACACAATGACCAAAGTGAACTTTGAAAAATATAAATCTGACCATCACATAATAGAACGTGCAACTTCTAACCCTGGCTTATAAGGCCTGGTGTCCCCCCTTCCATGTCTCAAACCTATCTCCTCAGTCCCTCGGCTCCTGCCATCCTGGCCTCCTTGCCATCTTGAATCCCCAGCCACACTCCTACCCCAGAGCCTTTGCACATGCTCTCTCCTCTTTCTGGAACCCCTGTGCTCACACCTGCTCACTTATGGGTGTCTCCTCCTTATTGTTGGATCTCAGCTCAAAATTCTCATTCTCAGAGAGGCCTAAATGCCCCTCCTTTAAAAAAAAAGAAAAAAAGCTTTGTTTTCTTCATAGCACTTATCACTGAATGTACCATGATGATTGCTTGTTTACTGCTTGTCTGTCTCTTCCACTAGAATGTGAGCTCCAGGAGGGCAGGGCCTTTGTCTTGTTCCCCGTGGTGCCTTCCTTACCTAGCACAGGGTATGGTATGCAGTAGGCACTCAATAAATGTGAGTGACTGAAGAAACAATCGGACCACTTTCAGCCTCATCTCCCACCATTTCTTCCCTCCCCCGCCCACCATGGCACTGTGAGCTCCAGTCCCACCACCTGGTCCCTCCCACTGACCACGCCTTCCCAAGCCCCCATGACCCAGAACCCCCTCCATCCTTGCCTACGTCTCCCCTCAAGGCTCCCCCTCCTCCAGGGCAGCCTCCCTCCTCTGCTAGCCAGTTGCTGTGATCTCCTTGCTGGTTAGTCTGCCAGGCTAGGCTGTGAGTTCCAGTCCTGGTGCATAAAGGCTTAGGTGCCTCAGTGGCTGTGAAGACAGCAGGCCCTTCTGTCCTCACCATTTCAGCTCCCTGTACCTGGGGTTTTCCCTTCCAGGGAGTTTCCTGAGTCTTTCTGTTCCTTTAATACCCCATTCTTCCTCCTCGGAGATCCGGGAGAGGCCAGGGGCCCTAAGTCACCCAGCCAGGGGCCCTTAAGTGAGTGAGAGCCAGCCTGATGTAGGTGTCATTTCCATTTGGCTGCTAAGTGGGGGCTGAGGGGGCTGAGGGAACGACTCGCTCAGAGCCCTGGAGAAACTGACAACTGAGACGGGAGCCTGACAGCCCCTGAGGCCAAATCCCAGGGTTTCACTCAGGGTTCCTCCAACTTCCACTCCTGGTCTCAGACCTGACAGGCTCTGGGCAACCTGGCAGCTGAAGCCCTGGAAGGCAGGAGTCGTGTGTGACCCACATGGTGCTCCCATCAAGAAGAGTGCCTCTGTGAGCATTTCTCAAAGGGATGGACTTCCATCCAAGGGCAGGAAGCCCCTTTCTTTGGCATCTGTGCTTTGGGACAAGGAGTTCCAACAGTCCCTTCAACTGTCCTATTGATAAGCCTTTTGAGGGGTCCTGCTTAAATCCCCCCACCCAGAGACATACAGATATGGGGGGCACAGGAAAGGCTTCTCGAAAAAGCAAATGCTCCCCTCCAGGGCTGGAAGGGACCTTGGAGCTGACCCAGGCCTGGGAATTGTAGAGGGGGAGGAAGTGGCTTGCTCAAGGTCATCCAGCAAAGCTGTGGGCCCTCATTCTGCCGGGGCCCCAGTGCTGCTGGAAACCAGCCTTGGTCCCTCTGACCACTTCCTCGCCTGAGATCTTAATCACGAATTTTCCACAGCTGCTCTGGGTACAGGGTATGTAGGGACGCGTAAGGGGGTGTTGGGCAGCTGTGGTTTTCACCAGTAAAGCGGCAGTTAAAGATGGAGAGGGCGATAAGGTCGTAAGCTCTACCCTGAGGCCCCGTGGGAGGGAAGGAGTAATTTGGCAGATGGGGCAGGGCGCTGCAGGGAAGGTGGAAAACTGACCACAGCTGTGGTCCTGGCCCTGGAGTCCTCACCTTGGAGCCTTCCCCCGTGCTGGCAGCTGGCTTGGGTTTGGGGACACCCTCCTGCAGAAGCCTCTCTGAGGAGGGGCCAGACGTCCTGGAGAGGGAGTAGGCAAGTCTGGGGGTCTGGGGAGCCCCGAGAAGAGTCTTTTAAAGAATTGAACACATAGTAAATATATCAACTTTGCAAAACAGTGCACAGTGATCATAATCTTTTGGGTTTGTCATCGAGGACCAGCCGTCCTCAGCTCACCTCTGTGCCTGATTGAGCTGGGAGGACCCCGAGAACCCACCCTTTGTCCCCATCCCCCCCCCCGGGGTAGTTCTGTCAGCCAAGGGTTTCTATGGCAACCTCTCTTTGGTTCTGGCTTCCCTTCGTTACTCATTCAACAAGCGTTTAATGAGGACCTGCTCTGTGCTGTTCTAACTGCTTGGGAATGTCAGTGGACAAGATGGGCCCAGATCCCTGCCCCCGTGGACTGGTCTTCTAGCAAGTTGGATGAACTTTATGCCCCCCTTTCCAGGAAAATGCATTTAGGTATGAAAACTTGTCTACAAATTTGTGGGGCTCCTGGACCCCAATTGAAGCACCTTCATCTTAGAGGGGTGATTCCCTAACGCAGCTTGCTACCCTAACACAGTCTGAGCATTTCCTCCTGTCCTGGGCCCCTCTGAACCAGGAGTGAGGGGGCAGCAGAAGCCAGCCAGGCCCCCCGCAAGTTCTCAGTCCACTGGTGCTGACTTGCTGATGGACGTCATGGAGCCCCAGGGGGCTCTGAGCATCTCAGAGCTGGTCTCTGGGGACGTAGGTGAGCTTTGAGAGCCCAGCTCAGGTCTGAGAGGCAGGGCAGGGAGGTAGAGAAAGTGTGTCCCTCATGAGGAGGGCCAGAGCCTGGGCATAAGCCAAGCTTAGAAGCCTGTGGCTGGTGGTGGCCTTGAGGCCTCCATCCATCCCCTGCCTTCAGAAGAGCAGCTTGTCCTCCAAGACTCCGGTCAGGGGTCTGTCCTGTCCCTGGTTGTCCCCACCCTGACCTTCCTCCATGTGCATCTCTCCCATCGCCGCCCTCTTCACACAGCGGGGCTGGTCTCTTTCTAGGTCCGTTTCCCCCACTAACTCAGCAGCCCTGTGAACGTAGGCCTGTGCCCGCCGTCTGTGTTCCTGCCTCCTGTCTCCACCCATGACATGGTCAATGGTCAATAAGGTTTGTTAGTTGATTGGCTGAAAGATGCAAAACCCAGCAGGGATAACAAAGAGATGAGTGGTTTTCCTGTGAGCTTTAGGCCACCCACCCCCAGGAAGCAGACTCTGAGACAAAGGTGAGCCTGCAGGGCACTCACCAGTAGAGCTCTTGGGGTCAGTACCTCTGGTGAGAAGAGAAGGAAGCAGGACAGGACAGAGGGAGGAGTGGGCTGCTGTGTAGACAAAGCCTCAGCTGACCCTGGGGATTTCTGGAGGTGGGGTGGCTCCTCAGATCTGGGGGCAGGGCATCAGGCCTTTGCATCCCGCACCTATCATTGGATGAGAGCTCCATGGGGGACCTCAGCCATAGGCAAGGCCATTGCCATAGGAGCTGACACTGAGACCCCTCGCAGCAGCTGGGGGTTGTCCTTCTTTTCTGGTGGCACATCAGGTGGCCACCACACTACCTCTCTCATAGTAAGAGAGACTAACCTTTTATATATGTGTGTGTATCTTTTTAAATGTCATAACGTTTATCTATTCGAACATACTAAATAAACAAAATATAAAACTAAATACCATATACTGAAACAAGAGGTTTTTGAACCTCCGTGGAGTGGGTCCTCAGGCCATCAGGCTGTCTCTGGGGACCCTCGTAGGGTCCCTAAGGATCCTCTTGGTGAACACTCCTTCCTAGGGTCCGGCTGCTGATGTCCACTGCCCCCAAACTCAGAAGAGCCTCTCTAGGACCCAGGGGCTGGGCATGCCCCCCTTCTCTGCTGACCCAGCCCCGGCTCCCAGTCCAAGGCCATGTTGCTATCTCCAAGATCAGATGGTGGGTAGGACAGCATCAGGCACGTGCTCTGCCTCCCACCCTGTCCAGGGACCTTGCTCGCCAGCTGTGGGCGGTTTGGGCCAACCTCTCCGCCTCCTCCCTGCTGTGGCCCCAGCCTATAAAGCCACCCTGTGTGTCCCCGCCGACCCTGGCCCCCTCCCCTGACACCCAGAGCCACAATGGCAGAGCTGCCGGTGTCGGAGATGCCCAGGGACCCTGCTCTGTGCAGTGGGCGCTTCACCATCAGCACGTTGTTGGGGGGCGATGAGCCCCCCCCACCGGCCGCCTATGACAGCAGCCACCCCAGCCACCTGACCCACGGCAGCACCTTCTACATGCGCACCTTTGGCTACAACACTATCGATGTGGTGCCTGCCTACGAGCACTATGCCAACAGCACCCTGCCCGGCGAGCCCCGAAAGGTCCGGCCCACACTGGCCGACCTGCACTCCTTCCTCAAGGTAAACACCGTCCCAGAGGAGTGGCCCTTCCTGCTGTGTGACCTTGACCAGTTACCTAGCCTCTCTGAGCCTTGGCTCTGTCATCTGTGTCATGGGGACAAACAGGTGTCTTCCTCATGGGTTGAGAGGCCCACATGGAATGCGGGTATGGGAGCTGTAAAGCTCTGGGCACATGTAATATTCATTGCCCAGTCATTGGCAACCCAGTCAAGCAATCTAGGGTTGCCCAGAGAGGTAATGAGCTCCCGGTCAGTGGAAGTTTACAGAGTTTACACTCACCTAAAGGAGATGGGGAGAAGAGGGTAAGAAAGGTCTGCAGCAGAGACGGGGCTTGCTGGTTTGCTACTTGGGAGGCTGGACGGTGGAGGGTGGGGAGGCGGGGGAGCTGGATTTTCATGACCCCTGCCTGCCTGACCCACGGTCTCTGCGCTCCCAGCAGGAAGGCAGCCACCTGCATGCCCTGGCCTTTGACAGCCGGCCCAGCCATGAGATGACCGATGGGCTGGTGGAGGATGAGGCAGGTACCAACGGCGAGAAGAACCCTGAGGAGCCTGCGCGCTTTGGCTGGGTCAAGGGGGTGATGGTGAGCGGGGCGTGGATGGGATGTTCAGGGATGGGGGTAGGGTGACAGAGCTCCATTCAGGCTCAGCTTGGACTCTCGGGCCTTAGTAGTCAAGGCAGACCCAAGACTCAGCCCGGGCCTCAGTTTCCCCATCTGCCTAGTGACCTCAAATTTTCTCTGCTTTTGTACTTCCTGACCTCTGTTTACCTCCCAGACTGAGACCTAACCCTGGGGAAGATCTCTGTTTGTCTGCTCAGTCATCATGTGACCTTAGACAAGTTACTTAACCTGTCTATGCCTCACTTTCATCGTCTATGAAATGATGAGCATTCAATGAATTAATAGATGTAAAGCGCTTGGATGAATGCCCACCTTGGAGTTATTGAGAGAAACTGTGTTTCCCCAAAGAGCCCCCAGAGGGCAGTACTAAACACAAATCCACAACATTGTTTTCTCATTCTCCATGATGGGAAGGAGAAGGTTTGCTGTTTTAGACCCCAAGATAGCAAACAATCTAATGTACTTGGCTTTGGAAGACATTATGGCACTTTACAGAGGGGATCGCATGAGATCTAGGAGAAAGCTTCCCGCTCTGGGAGGCAGGAAGCCTGGGTTCTGACCTTAACTCTGCCAACTGCCTGCTTGGCTGTGCCTCTTTCTCCATCTGAACAGTCAACCCCCCTCTAGCTCCAGAGGCCCGTAATCCGGAGTCTGGGTCTCCCTCCCTCACTGTGGTGGCCAGAGCCTGGTGTGGGCCCTTCAGTACCTCAGAGCATGTGGAGGGCCTTAGAAATTTCCCAGGCCTAAAATTTTGAATCACTATGTTATATGCCTGAAGCTAATATAATATTGTAAATCAACTATACCTCAATTTTTTTTAATAAATTACATTCAAAAAATTTTTAAAGGCTTAAAAAAAAAAAAGAAAAGAAAAGAGAAAGAAAAAAGAAATCCCCCTGGGCTTGTAAATGCCACATGTCCCTCGCCCCAAGACGTGGCTGGGGCCAAAGACCACACCAGCCCTTCCCACACGGGATTCCAGCCTCAGCTGTGGCGTCTGGCTTTGCTTTAAATTCGGAAGCTGAAGTCAAAGCCACCTGAGCCCTGATTTCTGCTTGTATGTAGGGCATTGGCTCAGCTAGCATTTGCTGAGTTCCCCCTGAATGCCAGGCTCTGGGCCAACAGCTGGCCACTGGGCCATGAATGGGGCTGGCAGACACAGGACCCTGGGCTTGGAGCAGGGTGAGGGGTGATAATGCTTGCTGCCCATCCTCAGGCCTCGATGGAAGGAGGGTAGGAGAGTGGTGGGAGGGACAGGTGGGTCTCTGGGTACCCCTCCCCTCCCTGCCCCACAGAACCAGAGAGGCACTGAAGTGGGCACCCACTAAAGTGGGTGAAGCAAGGAAAGAACCCAGGTGTCCCCTAGGTGCCCGATGCCATGCCAAGACTGGGGACAGGGACTTATGTGCTTGACCTTGGGGTACTCAGCCCCCCCCAGGTGGCCTCTGACCCCCCTCTCCTCCCAGATCCGTTGCATGCTCAATATCTGGGGTGTGATCCTCTATCTGCGGCTCCCCTGGATTACCGCCCAGGCAGGCATTGGTGAGTGCTGCCTCTGGGGGGCAGGGGGAAGGTGCGCCCGGGTCCTGGTCCTCCCAGGCTCCATGGGAGCAATCTTGAACTTGGGTTACAGAGCCCATGGGTTACAGAGGTCAGGGCAGTGTGGCCAAGGAGCACTGGACGTGGAGTCAGCAGGCCTGGGGGCTCTCCCTGGCTCAGTTTGCCCTCAGTAAGTCACTTAACCTCTTGGAGCCAAATTTCTTCTGCAGAGCATCTGGGTTAGGAACTCACACTGTGGACAGACCAGCTGCTAGCTCTGTACCATGCTGTGTGACCTTGGACAAGTTTTTAACCTCTCTGAGCTTTGATTTCCTCATCAGTTAAATGGGGGCAATAACTGTCCCCACCTCACAGATCTATTGTGGGGTTCCTCTGATGCACATAAAACAGCACAGGGTTTGGCACCCAGAGGTGCTCATCAAGTGTAACTATTACTTTATTTTTTATTATTAAGAGAGGATACCTACGCTTCCATACGTAATGATTCTTTACATGTTGGCTTATCAGCTCCCTGGCTATTTAGAATATACCAGGAGGTAGACAGAGACCCATTTTTCAGATGAGAAAAGTGAGGCTCAGAGAAGGAAAGTGACTTAAGTCATGTGGTGAATCAGTTGGCTGATTCAGGTTCCTCAAATGGCTCCTTCTGAGAAATGCCCTGACTGAGTTTTGGGGCAATCACCTCCCCGCCCACCCCCACAGTCCTGACCTGGATCATCATCCTGCTCTCGGTCATGGTGACCTCCATCACGGGCCTCTCCATCTCGGCCATCTCCACCAACGGCAAGGTCAAGTCAGGTGGGCCCCACCCCAGCCCCAAGGTCCTCCTCGTGTAGGTCCCCGAGTATTCACCCCGGGAACGGGTCTCTGAACCACTCCTTACCCTCCACCCCCACCCAGACGGGGACACCCCAGGCTGCCCCTGTTGATTCCAGATGTAGGCTTCGGGCAGGCTCTCCACACCTATGGGACGGGATGGCCTTGGTTGTCTCCTGCTCCATGAACCCCCTGGGCCCCATGCTCACCCCCTCCCAGCCTCAGCTCTCCCTGCCCCAAGTCCACCCCAGCCAGGTGACTCCTCTGGTTTCATGGCTCCTGGCTCTGTCCCCAATAGGTGGCACCTACTTCCTCATCTCCCGGAGTCTTGGCCCAGAGCTAGGGGGCTCCATCGGCCTCATCTTTGCCTTCGCCAATGCTGTGGGTGTGGCCATGCACACCGTGGGCTTCGCAGAGACCGTGCAGGACTTGCTCCAGGTGAGGTAGGGGCTGGACCCCGGGCAGACAGAGCCCCGGCCGCCTGCCACATTCTCCTCCACACCTGCTGGGCCTGGCCTTCCTGCCCCTCTACCCAATTTGGCCTTTAGGGACCAAAGCCACAGTCTGATCATTGTGGGTGACTCTGATGATCTCTTCAAATAAAGACCGTCCCCAGAAGTCTCCTTCAGGGTTGCGTGTTGCCTTTAGGGCCAAATTGTCCAGACCCATGCAGTAGTAGCTGCTTTGGAGGACTTGTGGGCAGGGGAGGAGTCTGAGTTTGTGTTTTCCTATGAGAGGGCAACCATAAATGAGGTAAATCACGGTGGAGGAGCCTGGGGGGTAGGGTGGGCTGTTCAGAGGCAGCACGCAGCCTAGCCTGTCACCTCCCCCAGGAGCACGGCTCGCCCATCGTGGACCCCACCAACGATATCCGCATCATTGGCGTGGTCACCGTCACTGTGCTGCTGGCCATCTCCCTGGCTGGCATGGAGTGGGAGTCCAAGGTGAGGACAGGATGTTGGGGAGGGATGTGGGCACGGTCGAGTGCGGAAGCAGGAATCGCGGGACCTGGTCCCAGTCTTGGTTCTGCCTCTTGTTTGTGTCAGATGAGCTTTAAGTTCTGCTGCTGTGACACAGACCCTAAGGAAGGGGGCCTTAAGCCAGAATCGTTCATTTCTCTCTCATGGAACAGTCCAGGTGTGTGTGTGTGTGGCCCCTGGGGACCAGGTATTCAGGCACCTTCCATCCTGTGGCCTCTCTACCCCTGGGGTGTGGCCCTCATCCACCTGGCCCATGACAGCCCCCACCTCCATGTCCACAGCCCAGTCAGCAGGAAGGGGAAAGAGGGTGGAAAGGAGAGAGTCCCCTTCCCCTTTCCTTCTGTCCCAGCCTGGAAGTTGTACATATTCCTTCTGCTCACTTCCCGTTGGCCGGAACATGGTCCATGGCCACACCTCACTGTAAGGGGGGCTGGGGAAACGTGGTCTTCATCTGAACCTATCCCAAGCCCCGAGTCAGAGGTTCAGCATGAAATAAGGGAAGAGATGTTGGGCCACAGCCGGCAGCCTTGACCAGCAAAGCCCAGGCCCCGGCCGCCCTGCCTCTCGCCCCCTGGCTCTGACCTCCAGCTCCACCACCTCCCCACTGTTCCTTGAATGCACCAAGCTTATGCCCCCATCATTCTGCTGCTCCATTATCCTCCTCCTTTAGGACCCTTGAAGACACCTTCTCAGGCCACCCTGCTAAAGTAGCCTCAACCCAGTCCCCGGGACACCCCCTGTTCTTACTCTAGATTCATCCTCCTTATTTATCAGCAAGACAGGAGGCTTGCTATGTCGCCAGCTCCTAGAACAGAGCCTGTGGAGTAATGGGTGTTGAATGAGTGAATGAATGGGAGAGTAAGGGACCTGGGGCAAGCTCTTCCCTGCTGGGGCTCCCTGAACAGGCGGAGCCAGACCGTCTGACCTCCAGGCTCCCTTCCTCCCAGGCCCAGGTGCTCTTCTTCCTCGTCATCATGGTCTCTTTTGCCAACTACCTGGTTGGGACACTGATCCCCCCCTCTGAGGACAAGGCCTCCAAAGGCTTCTTCAGCTACCGGGGTACGTGCGGGTTGGGGCCACTGCCCGTGGCTCTGGGGACAGGGACAGTCTGCCCACGAGTCTGGCCCATTATGTGGGCACCAGTGTTACCGAACCAAACGTGGGTCCGCTTACCCGTGCGCAGTAAAGCCAATCTACTGACACTGGGTTGTGGTGAAGGAAAGTGCAGCGTTTATTTCAGGGTCAAGCAAGGAGTCCAAGGCAGCAAGTGCTTAAAAGACCCAAACTCCCTGAAAGCTTTCAGGGAAAGGTTTATAAAGATAGAGGGAGGGAGGGGGGTGTGGGGTGTGTGATCAGCTGGTGGACATTCTTCTGATTGGCTGGTGGTGAGGTAATCGGGAGTCAACATCATCAACCTTCTGGTTCCAGCTGGTCTGGGGTCTACGTGCTTGTGGGCAGCACGCAGTTAACTTCTCCCACCTGATGGGGGTTTCAGTAGCTGCAAAACAGCTCAAAGGATTTGGCTCAGAATATTACCTATAGCCCTTGAGGAGGAACTAAAAGTCCTTGACTTTGTTTAATGGTTAAGCTACTATTATTTTGTCTTGCTTGACTGTTTTCTTCCTGCATGTTCTCACTTCTCTGATTAAATGTATTCTTTGACTAAAGCTTATCTACAGACAAAAGGCAGGCAGAGGACATGGGTGGGGGTCAATTCTGGGAAGGCCCCGTAGGGTCCTGCTTGGTTACATGGGGAGGCTGGCACCCCCGACCCCCACAGCCAGGAGCTGCCATGGGAACCCCCTGCCCACCCGGCTGGGCCCAGAGAGGGTGCCCAGGCCTTCCAGGAGGCCCTGACTCAGGCCTTGTTTTTCCAGCGGACATTTTTGCCCAGAACTTGGTGCCTGACTGGCGGGGCGTGGACGGCAGCTTCTTCGGGATGTTTTCCATCTTCTTCCCTTCAGCCACGGGCATCCTGGCAGGAGCCAACATCTCCGGGGACCTCAAGGTGAGCAAGACGCCCAGCCCTCCTGCCTCCTGGCCCTATCCTACCAGGATGTCCCACTGGGCACTGAGCAGAGCCCTGAGACCCCAGGGCCAGAGCTTCTAAACTTCTGTGTGACGCAATCCAAGCCAACCCAAATCCATCCCATTCATCCCACTCCATTCTGAGGCTGTTGATTGGCACCACTGCACTCTAGGCCTTGAGGGCCACCCTCAAATGGGCTAGTCTCCTCCCTCGATCCTGGGACTCCCAGCCTAAGGGGAAGACTGACCCAGCTTGACCTTCCAAAACTCAGACGGGATCGGGCATATCCTCCCAGGGCTCTCCATCGTCTTGATGCGGGCAGGCTCCTTGGCACGGCATGTGAGGCCCCAGCCCCATGGGAACTGTTGCTGTTCCCATGACCCCTGCCCCAGCCCTGAGGATCTACTGCTTTGCCCCTGTTGCCCTGTCCCTCCCTCCACACCTTTGCCTCTGCTGTGCTCTCTACCTGGGACTCGCTATCCTCATTTCTTTACCTTGTAAAGTTCTGTTCCTCCTGCAAATTAAAGCCTCCATCCTTACACCTCTCCCAGCCCTTTTGTCAGTTTTGGTTCCTCTAATTTAGTGATGTCAGGCCACTTATGTCTCTGCCCTGCCGCATCTGGAGAACTGGGGCCTACCTCTCTGTCCCTATTCCCAGCTCAGGGTCTGACGTGTCCTAGGTGCTTGGTGCCTGTGTGTTGAGTGAACAGTGGTGGGATGTGGCAAATGGGAAGTGTTAGAGCAGAAGTACAATGCGCACAAGTGGGGGAGAAGTGCAGACTGAGGTGGCAGGGGCTCCAGCAAAACTTATGGCTGAAGGTGGGGCTGAAGCTGGGCTCTGAGAGACGAGAAAGCCAGCGGAATCTTTGCCAGAGGGAGGTTATCAAAGGAGCTGGTACACAAGTGGGGATGAACATTGAGAAGCCTGGCTTTGTGCTGGGGACCTTCACCCTCCATCTCAGTCCCGCTCGAAAGGTGCTCCTTGATGCATTTTCTTAAATGAATTAAGAATTGTGCACTGGAGGCAATCTCGAATTGCAGCGTGGCTCTAGCAGGACCTGGAAATCAGAGGGAGGCTGTGTTTGCCCGGCTCCTCTCCCTTCTCTGGGGAGCAGCCAGCAGGGGCCTGGTCTGCCTGCCCCGAGTTCTCTGCAGAGCTCGGGCTTGTGCTCAGGTGGCCTGGTTCCCCTCCCAGCCCCGTTATAGATCATCATAGCCTGGGGATTTATCTAGATGCTTTATCAAGCTTCTTAGGTTACCAACCGGCCCAGTGTGCAGGCATCAGGGTCAGGCAGCTGTCTCAGAGCTGGGGGCAGGGGCAGGCATCTTCTTCTGTCTTAAATGCCCTCAAGCCCTAAAGGGACACTTTTCTCCTAGATCTGGCCCCCTGCCCATCCAGTGGGACAGTAAGTCCTCGGCGAAGAGCAGCTCCCGTTCATGCGGACTTTATGCAAGTCCCTTAAAACCTCTCTGGACCTCAGCTTCCCCAGCTGTAAACTGGGACTCACGCAGCCCCGGCTTCCCAGGGCAGGGAGCAAGGATTCAACGTGCTACTTTACATAAAGTGCTTACAGCAGTGCCCAGCCCAGAGGAAGTGCTAAAGGCTGGCTGTCAAGGCCAATGTCATTTTTACCATGTGGCCAGCACGGTGCCTCCTTCTTTAAAAATAATATCTGTGGGACAGCTGTAAGCTTCTACCATCATCACTCCCATGTTACAGACGAGCAAACCAAGCTTAGAGAGGGTTAGGGGCTTGCCCAGGGTCCCACACACAGGTGTCAGAGGATCTGGAATTCAAGTTTCTAAAACAAAGAGACCTCAACTTTATCACAACAACTCCATCATTCAACCAATATTTTTTGAGCACCTGCTTTGAGGCCAGTGTCTTGTGGATGCAGCAGTAAACAAAAGAGACACAAATTCCTGCCCTCATGGAGCTGACATGCTAGTGAGAGAGACAATCAACGAATAAATAAGTAAAATCTGTAGTTTGCCTGACGGTGGTTGAGCGATGGGGAGAAAAATCAAGCAGAGAAGTGGGGAGGCAATCCCTGGGTCAGGGGTGCAGAAGCATGGTGTGAATTTACACAAGGTGACCAGAGACTCCTGAGAAGGTGACATGTGAGTCGAGACCTAAAGGGGTGATGACAAAGTTGTCATTGTTACTATTAATCCTTTACGTCCCCCAACCCTTTAGTGCTTACAGAGCAGTCTCGTGACCATGATCTCATGTTGGTTTAATCTTCACAACCACCCTGTGCTAAGGCCAAGAAAAGCATTATTAACTCAATTTGCTGATGTGGGGGATGGGTGCTCAGAGACAAGGGACTTCCTAGTGACTGCCGTGGGATCTGTGCCAGGCTGGTGTTGTCCCAGGTTGTGTCGCAATACAGTCCCCACCCCTAACAGCTTATGTTTACAGGCGCTGGCTACATGCCAGGCTACTTTCTTATTTCACAGATAGCGGGGGAGAGACACTGAGGCTCAGAGAGGTTAAAGGGTTTGTTCCAAGGCACACAGCCAGGAAGAGATAAGCAAGATGTGGGCCCAGATATGCCTGATTTGTGAGTTGGGCTCTGAGATTTCATGCCAAGACATGAGGGTAGGATGGAAGCCTGGTGTATTTATTTCCTGTGGCTGCTGTAACACGTTACCACAAACTTGGTGCCTGAAGACAATGGAAATTTATTCTCACACAGTTCTAGAAGCCAGAAGTCCAAAAAAAGGTGTCAGTAGAACCATGCTCCCTCTGAAGGCTCTACGGAAGAATCCTTCCTTGCCTCTTCCAGCTTCTGGTAGTTTCCAACAATCCTGAGCATTCCTTGGCTTGTAGCTTCATCCCTCCAATCTCTACCTCTGTCTTCATGTGGCCTTCTTTCCTCTGTGTGTCTCTGTGTGTCCTCTCCTCTCCAAGGACACCAGTCATTGGATTTAGGGCCCACCTAATCCAGTATGACCTCATCTTAGCTAATTACATTTGCAAAGATGCTATTCCCAAATAAGGTCATATTCTGAGGTTCTGGATAAATGTGAATTTTGGGGGACACTATGCCACCCACCATAGGTGAGCTGGGAGGTTGACCTGGTCTGTTGGCCTTGGGACCAGGGACTCAGGGCAGGGCTGGCTGGCCCATAGTTGCAGGGCCCCCAGAGCAGAGACCTCAGCAGCCCGGGGTGCTCCAGAGCCTCCAGCCTCCCTCCAGCTCTGCTCCCACTTCTCTCTGACCCGCCGCGCCCTTCTTCCCACCCCAGTGCCTTCAGAGCCACGTAAATCGTCCCCTCCACGCTGAGGCCTTCCAGCGTTCCTGGCAGTGTCTCCCCCACCTTGTCTCCCAGCGCACTGTGATCCTCTCTGTGGCGGGCACCATCTGCCCTGTGTTGGCAGGATCCCACCTGTACCTCCTCCACTTGGGCCAGGGCTCCTTAAGGGCAGGTTCAGGGCCTGGTCATCACAGATTGACCATGGGTTCCAGCACAGGGCTCCGAGCGTCTGAGGCAGAGAGCTGGACCATGGCCAGCTTTGCTTCGACTTGCCAGTGAATTTGAACAGCGTCATGGTCCCTCCAAGCTCTGTCACCTGTGATTCTTCCTGCCAGCTGAGCGGTGAGCAGAACGGCCCAGAAAAGGCTGGCAGGTTTACGAATTTACTTCCTATGGCTGACGTGACCTTCGCCTCCAAGCTAGGGTCTGTGCCTGGATGGGAAGCTTGCCATAAAAATCCCAGCCTGCGTTACTCCACCCAGGATCAGCACCCCCGGGGGGGCCTGAGGCTGTGGACCTCGGCGTGGTCAGGACCAAGCCGCTGGGGCTCAGTGAGCTGGGCCTTGCTCACAGCTCCCTGGCCTCAGTTTCGCCACTAGCCACTTCTCAGGAAGCTATGTTTGAGAAAGTGCCTGGAAGAATGAAACCCATGACGTGGATGTGAAGGTCTGCTACTGCTGCCAGGAAAGCACCAGCAGAGTTCTTTCTCGAAGAGGAAGGAGAGAGTTTGGGGCTTGTCTCTATATTGATTGCTGTGGAACCAGACAAATCAACTGGCGCATAATAGTGACCGCGCGCAGTGAACCCAGCTGGTGAGCTGGGCCCTGGTCGAGGAGCTTGACAAGGATTAACTGGTTTCACCAGCATCCCTGTGAGGCTGGAGGGGCTGAGCATGGGAGGACATGCACGCTGCCCAGTGATCACCTGGATTTGCCTCAGGCAGGCTGACTCGGGAGCCCTCCACCTCACCCCACCCTTCACAGCCCCCAGAGCAAGCGTCAGCCAGGTGTCCTCGGAGACCAGGCCTGGGGCTGCTTGGAGTTCCTCTCTCTGCCTTGGGCTCCCAGGGCCCTGAATGTGGTCTCAGCTGTCCCCTTGGTTCTGTCCTGTCCCCCTCTCTGGGTCCTCAATCTCGAGGTGCCTTCCTCTCAGTGCCCCGGGGAAGGGGGTTCTGGTGGGTCAAGGTCAGTGTTTGCTGCCCCACCCTCAGCCTGACAAGGACAGGGCCTGGGAGGAGGCCCAGGGGCTGCCTGATGCCCTCTCTCCCTTCCTCCTCCAGGACCCTGCTGTAGCCATCCCCAAGGGAACTCTCATGGCCATTTTCTGGACCACCATTTCCTACCTAGCTATCTCGGCCACCATTGGTAAGCTGCCGACCCAGACCCTGGAGGGGTCACAGGGTGCCGCCTGGCTCTCTAACAAGGATGGCTGGGCCGGGAGGACATGGCACCCCCAGGAAGTGGAGCCTCGAACTTTATTTTGGGGGGCACCTTGGGGGGTAGTTTGTGGTGGAGATGGGGGATCACCCCAGGCTCCTCTGGTCCCTTCAAACCTCAGGTTACAGATTCCATGGTATGAAAATCCTATAGGAAAAGTCATGTTCCAACTCCAGGAATAATGATCAGAACAATGAGGAGGAGGAGGAGGAAGATGACTCTAGCAACTGACTTATCACCACGTGCCCAGCCCTTTACATGCCTTATTGCATTTAATCTGAGCACTATCATTTCTGCCACTTGACGGAGGAGAAAACAAGGGCTTAGCGAGGTTAAGCGACCTGCCCAAGGTCACAGAGCCTGAGTGGTAGAGGAGGGCTGTGGACCAGGCCTGGACTGCTGACACTCGCCTCTCACTGAGATCCTCACACATGCTCTTGCTCCCAATAGCCACATCGTGGGGTGAGCTGCTCGCAGGTGGCCAAGGGACGTGGCCCAGGTCATAGCCACTTAGGGCCTGAGATCCGGTTCTCCACTTTAAGGAGGACACTGTGACCTCAGGTCACTTAAGCTCCCTGTGTCTCTGTAGAATGGCAATGACAATAAAAGTAGTAGTAATACCTGTTTCCCCAGAGTGTTTAAAGTCCTTAACACAGGGCCTGGCACATTGGAGGTGCTCCTGCATGGTGGCTAAAGTCATTGTCGTCATCATCATTATTATCATAAAGTAAAGGAAGAGCTGGCCCATCAGCAGCATGTCGCCCTCTGCAGAAGCGTCTGGTGTTTTCAGGGTGGGGAGGGGAGGGGAGAGGAGGGAAAGGAGGCCTCAGCACGCCCTCCTTCCTCCTCAGGCTCCTGTGTGGTTCGAGATGCCTCCGGGATCCTGAATGACACGGTGACCCCCGGCTCAGGCGCCTGCGAGGGGCTGGCCTGTGGCTACGGCTGGAACTTTACCGAGTGCTCCCAGCAGCACAGCTGCCGCTACGGCCTCATCAACCACTACCAGGTACGCGTGGCCCTGCCAGAGACAGGGAGGGCCGGGTGGAGGCTGGACTGGGCTGGGGTAGACAAGGTTTGGGGGGCTGGCCCCAGGCTTGGGAAAAGAGCTTCAGGTAGGGGCCTGGGCCCAATTCTTGCCCTGTTGGGCACTGGGTCCCCAGTGAAGGTTGCAGACTCAGGTGGCAGCTCCCAGACTCAGCCCCTGCCTGCAGCGGGGACTGGGGTGCCCTGGGTGGGGGCTCTGGGCCCCACCCCTCGCCATGGGAACCTGAACCCCATGTCCCTGCAGACCATGAGCATGGTGTCGGGCTTCGCACCCCTGATCACGGCCGGCATCTTTGGGGCCACCCTCTCCTCAGCCCTGGCCTGTCTCGTCTCTGCCGCCAAAGTTTTCCAGGTGAGGCTGTGGAAGGGGGCGGGAGTGTCTAGGAGGCCAGGTGCAGGGGGCCCCAGGTGACTGCCACAAAGGCCTGGAGGAGTCATATGACCTGGTGTCTAGACTGAAGGAAAAGGAGCTAGTAAAGCAAACGCTTGCAGGAAGCAGCCCCTTCCTGTGCCGAGCTTTGAAGAGCAGCTGCCTTTCCCACCCCTCACTCCCTCTGTGCAGCCTGGCACCCCGTTTGCAACCCCCCTCCCAGTTTCCCTCTGATGTGATCAGCCCCTTTTGCCCTTTCAGTCTTCGTGGTGAGGTGGGGAGGGCAGGAGATCAGTCCCCTTTCAAGAGACAGAAGCCGGGACCCAGGTCAGGAAGTGCCCTGCTGAGGTCACGGAGAGAGCAAGCAGGGCCTGGGGTCCAGGTGGCCATAGGGGAGGGGATGGGGCAGGTCCCGGCCAGGGGGTAAGCCCATCGTCCTGTGCCCACAGTGCCTGTGCATGGACCAGCTGTACCCGCTGATCGGCTTCTTCGGCAAAGGCTATGGCAAGAACAATGAGCCAGTGCGTGGCTACCTGCTGGCCTATGCCATTGCTGTGGCCTTCATCATCATTGGTGAGTGGCCACAGGGTACGCAGGGCTGCCACCTCTCCCGGCCAGCCGTGAGGGCCATGGGGACAGGGCCCGACATGCTTCCCCTGGCTCTGCATTCCTGTGTCCTGGCAGCTGGGACCTCCCTCCCCAGGTCTGAACTAGCCCCCAGGAGCACATTGGGAACACAGGACAAGCTGACTGATTCCTCCTCGGGAGCTGGTACAAACAGCTGGATCACTATCTCTGTAGGTATAGAACCTAGACCAACCTCATTTCTCAGATATTGAGCTGCTGGATCCCTTGGGCTCCAAGGTAGGGGACGCCTTAGGAGAAAGATTCCAGTTAATCAGTTAATTAGATTGACTTTCTATCCTGGCTTTGCCATATGCCAATTGTGTGACCTTGGAAAAAATCACCTCCTAGAGCCTCGGTTTCCTCATCTGAAAAATGGGAGTAATAATGCATAGAGGGTGTGTCACAGATGGGCAGGAAGAGACCATGTGTGTATATCACACACACACAAACACACACACACACACACATGCATTCATATACGCACACACTCATGTGTGCACACTCCCCAGTACTTCCTGATTTACTTAGCCAACGAGGCAGAACTTGCTAGGAGAGAGGTGGCCCTACCAAGCAAGGGCAATCGCTGTGCCTTGGCACAATGACCCCTGGTCCCTGCTCCCTATGCAGGAATGGGGTCAGGATCAGCTGTTGGTGAACCTCCCCAGCCTGGGGGGCACCTTCCTGCCACAGCTGAATCCCTGCTCTGATACTTAGGCTGGCATCACCAAGCCATGAGACATAACCCAATGGTCTAGCCACTTCCACTCAAGGGAACCTTTCTGGATACTAGATACTCCTGGATCCTGCACCAGATGAAGAGGCAGCAGGGCCACAAGCAGGGAATGGAAACGCCTAGTCAGGCCTGGCATTCCCAGATGTTCCTGGATGTTTTCTGCTCACCCTGCCGTCCACCCCTGCCTCGGGTTTGATGTCGTTTTATCTGGGTGGTTCTGACTGTACCTCAGATGGAGGATCACGATCTCAAATGCTCTGGGGCAAGGCTCTTGTGCTAATTCAATGGACTCATATTCAGAAGGCCTGGCACATAAGAGTTGTTTGTCTTGTTTTGGGATCCACAGAAGCAGGCCCTGAGACAAGGATTCACATGCAAAAGTGTGTCTAGGGATGCCAGGGGTTGCAGCAGGGCAGGGACTCGTGAGACAGGGAAGGGAAGGAGCCGGTTCTTGAGTGGGTTTCCATTGTGGGTGGAACTGAGATACAGTCTCAAGGTTTCAGAAAATAGAGAACATGTGTCTTGGGTCACACTGTAAAATGTATTTCTTACTGTAATTTGTGGTCACACAAAGAAGTGTGATAGCCACTGTTCTTGGCCATCCCGTAGCCTGATGGGATCTACCCTCACACTGCTCTCCATCCTCTTTAGAGCTGGCAGTTTACAGTTTACAAAACACTGGACTTTGAGATTCACAAAATGATGAACCCATTTCAGAGATGAGAAAGTTGAGACTCACTGAGCCTCGGTGGCCCATTTGGGGTCCCTTTATCCTGAGAGGGAGGGTACCAAGGACTCCTTGGTGGAGTTGCCCAGTAGACTGTTTCCTCTCTCCCTTGGGTCCCTGAAGCTGAGCTCAACACCATCGCCCCCATCATCTCCAACTTCTTCCTGTGCTCCTATGCGCTCATCAACTTCAGCTGCTTCCACGCCTCCATCACCAACTCACCCGGTAAGCAAGACCCTCCCCCTTCATGGGGGGAGGCACCTGGGGCTGGGGTATGGAGCGGGGAGTGGAAGGCATGGATGCAGGTGGGCAGACCAAGGTCACCTCTCAAATTGAAATCAATTAAAGGGACCATTCATATAATAACAGTAATAACAGCTATCCTTTATCAAGCACTTACAACGTACACTATACATGGATTCATGCACTGTTTACAGTATGCAGAGACTTTACTAGTGCCTTCCTACACCAGTTTTAAGGGAGTCAGGAGTCTGACTCCCCAGAGAGGGAACAGAATCGTCAGTCACAGACGGGGTGGCTGCAGGTTGCACGTTGACCAACTCCAGGGGGTGCCACTCATAGATGTTATAGATTTTTATGTTTATTATGAAAATTTTCTGGCAGATGGCAGTAAAGAGTCTCAAGGAAGACTTTTTCTACTTAGCCCCAAATCGCCGATGGGCTGGTCCTGGGGCCACCTTTTCCCTAGACCATGGACCATGGTGCCCTGGAGTTGTGCCGTGGAGCGGCTGTCACTAGTGGCGGGCGTGGCATGGCCTGCAGGTGCAGGGCTAGGCAGAGTCATGTCCTTCCCCTCCATCTCACCCCCTCGGCTCTGTGTGAGCCCCAGAAACCAGCACTGCTGTGACATTGGATGTCCTGTGGCCGTATTTGGCCAGAGCTGGACACCTCCCCCTTGGTGTAGCCTGTTCACATGGCAGGATGACAGCCAAGGCAGGTGTGTGGCCCTACCAGAGCCTCCAAGCCCAGCTCCAGGAAGCAGGGTGGGGGGGCGGGCACAGACTGGGACCCCAGCCCTGGGCATTGCGGGCATTGCCACCCAGGCCCTGCCCAGCTATGCTGGCCCAGGAGGAGGCTCCGGAGTACTGAGCGTACGTCCTGCCCTGTGCCCCCCACCCAGGGTGGAGACCCTCATTCCGATACTACAGCAAGTGGGCGGCACTGTTTGGGGCGATCATCTCCGTGGTCATCATGTTCCTTCTCACCTGGTGGGCGGCCCTCATCGCCATCGGTGTGGTCCTCTTCCTCCTGCTCTATGTGATCTACAAGAAGCCAGGTGTGCGGTCGCAGGCTGCCCAGGGGGTCACGCGTCCCTTCTCACCCTGAGGCTGCCAAGCCGTCCTGCCTGTCAGCTCAGCCAGAGGGCCTGCCTCAGGCGCTGTGCTCTCAAGGGCCCCCCTCTGGTGCTCCAGCCTCATCCCTTCCCACAGGTTGAGGAGCCCCCGGGAGTGTGCCCACTCAGAGCCCACACCTCTACTACTAGACCACCCCCCACCCCCGGACACGCAGGACCTGACATTGCCTGCCCAGGTCCATCCTCCTGAGAGTGGCCGGCCCACTGGTGTGCACACCAGGCCGAGGGCTGCCTGACTGAAGGGCAGCCAGCCCAAGCCTGGACGTGTGGGCGGGGATGTGTACACGCGTGCAGGCAAGGATCCCAGGGTGACAGCAATCTGGGGGTGGGATGCAGAATGCCGGGAAAGCCTAGCGCTCTAAAGTAGAACCCGGCCTTCCAGGTCATTGTGAAGATCTTTTCGTCAAGGGAGGAGAATGTTTTGTAGAGTCATTAGCTTGATGCATAACGTTTAAATGTGTAGCCATATTGCATGTGCAAACGTTAGGAACAGATCTACAGGCTGTCTACCTGCTCCCACGGTGCTCGGTTCCTGAAGGTCAACATATGTATGTCTGGTTTCTCCCATGACTTCTAACCTTGCACACGCCCCTCAGAGGTGAACTGGGGCTCCTCGGTACAGGCTGGCTCCTACAACCTGGCCCTGAGCTACTCGGTGGGTCTCAACGAGGTGGAGGACCACATCAAGAACTATCGGTGAGTGCAGCCTTGCGGATGCCTGGGAGGCAGGGCTGGCCGTGACCCTGCTCCCGGATGCTCCAGGCCAAGGCCTGTCACCTGACCGGCAGACTCATGGTGGGCACGGCCCCCTCGCAGAGAGGAAACAGGGTGGAGGAGCACTGCTCAGCAGTCAGGAGACCGGGGCTGACACTGCGCAGTGGGGACCAAGCAAGTCTAGTGACTTCTCTGTACCTAAGTTTCTACAGCGGAATATGCTCTGGGCAATACAGTCGTCCCTCAGTATCTGCGGGGAATTGGTTCCAGCCCACCTCCCCACCCCCACCCCAGTCCCTTACATAAAAAGCCTAGCATAGTTGGCCCTCAGTATCCGTGGTTCCACATCCACAGATTCAACCACCACCCTTGGTTGAGGTGGTGGAGGTGGTGGAACTCCAGGGGCACCTCCAGACCCCCAGCTCTGTCCTGACGGCTCACACCCTTTTCCCTTCCCCTCCTCAGCCCCCAGTGCCTGGTGCTCACGGGGCCCCCCAACTTCCGCCCAGCCCTGGTGGACTTTGTGGGCACCTTCACCCGGAATCTCAGCTTGATGATCTGCGGCCACGTGCTCATTGTGAGTGCCCCCTGCAGGGGGGCGGGGCTGTACTCCTGGAGGAGCCCCTGGGCACCAGGTCCACCCCCGGGGGCAGCAGGAGGGGCTGTGGTGCCCAGGACAGGTTCTCTCCCTCCACCATCCCTATCCCTGGCTTGCCCACACTGTCCTGCCTCTCACCGGCTCCTTCCATCTTCCTTCCACCCCTCCCCCTCCCTCCTCCTCCGCTTTTCCTCCCCTAATTCCATAAAGGAGAACCAGCAATGAGCTCAGGGGACAGCCTCCAGGGCAGGAGAGGGGCTGAGTCCCAGGCCAGAGGGTGAAGGCCACCCCTGATGTCACCTGCCCCTGTCACCCACAGGGACCCCGCAAACAGAGGATGCCTGAGCTCCGGCTCATCGCCAACGGGCACACCAAGTGGCTGAACAAGAGGAAGATCAAGGCCTTCTACTCTGACGTCATCGCTGAGGACCTCCGCAGTGGTGTCCAGATTCTCATGCAGGTGCGTGGGCCCGGGGCTTCCTCACAGGACTTAGTTGGTGTGACGACCTGGAAGGTGGGATGCCGTGAAGGGCTAGTTGAAGCCCCTTTTGCTGCAACAGGAGTCCCGCCTTTCTTGCCTTTCCAGATGTGCTGATTCAGGACACTTTCTCAAAGTGCCCAGGGCCTGGGGAAACTGCTTTGGAGGCCTGTGGGAGCTGACGACACATTTTGTGATTTTGGTTTTTTTGAGATATAATTTATACACAGCAAACTGAAATAGTGTATAGTTTGATAAATGTTTACATATGCAGACACCGCTCAGTGCTGTGAAACCACCAGTCAGATCAAGTTCTAGAACATTCCACTGGGCAATTCATTTTACTGTTCAGTTTTTTCATTTGTAATGGGATGCATGAATAAAATAACAGTTGTTAATTCTGAGTCAACATAGGGGAATCCTTTTCAGTATTTCTCAAAGTTAGAAAGAAGAGCATACGAGGTCTCCTTTTGGGATTATAAAAATATTTGGAGAGTAGGTAGAAGTTATGATTGCACAATATTTTAAGTATACTAAGCGCCACTGAATTATACACTTTTAAATGGTTGATTTTCTGTTATGTAAGTTTCACCTCAAAAAGTAAAAAAAAATTTTAACATAAAAAAAAGAGAAATATAAAAGATGTAAGGATTAGATGACCCAGGAATACTCCAAGCTTGACATCCAAATTCAAGTCCCTTGTTATAAGAAATAATTTACTAGAGAAGCTGGAGCTGGGATAATCCAGAACTTATGGGACAGTCCAGCCACTGGCCCCGGCTTGGAGAGGCCGCAGGGGAATAGCTCTGGCTGTAGCTTCACATTTCTCGTGGGTGTGTCCAGGCAGACAGGACCCTGAACTGGCAGATGTGTTTCCTAAGCCCCCATGACATGGCAGAGAGGACAGCTGGGGCTGAGATGGAGCCCCACCCTAGTCACAGAACAGAGCCCCATGGGGCCTGTGGCCTGGTTCCTCACCTCATCCCCTCCACCCCCCCCTCCCCCACGGCAGGCTGCAGGTCTCGGGAGGATGAAGCCCAACATTCTGGTGGTCGGGTTCAAGAAGAACTGGCAGTCGGCTCACCCGGCCACAGTGGAAGACTACGTCGGCATCCTGCAGTGAGTGAGGGCATGAGGGAGGCAGAGCCTGTGGTCTCTCAATTTGGGCCTTCGGAGTTTCCTGGGCCTTGGGAAGTAGAGGGGGAAACAGTGGGTGCTGTAAGGAGCTGAGTCCACTCGTTCGAAGCTGAGGAAGAAAAAGACAGTCTGAGGGTTCCCCACTCTGACCTGTGAGTCATAGACACCAAGATCAGCAGAAACAGGCAGGTAACACAGTAAAGTGGGCCCAGAGTGGGCATTAGGGAGCAGTGGGGATTGTGGCAAACTGGAGAGAACAGCTGCTATTTGGCTCCAGCTAATCGTGCCCAGGCAGAAATGTGGGCCCGGTGTTGCTAGATCTAGTTTTTCAGAGAAGATGAAAATGTGGGTTTTTAGGTGAAAATCTTGTGTCCACCTGGAGGCTGCAGAAGACCTGCAGATGGCCAGCTCTCAAGCTGTGAGGTGGTACCTCTGAAACCAGGCTTCCGAGGAGGCGACAAGCTTGGGAGATTGGACCAGGGGTATAAACTCCCTAGGGATTTTAGGGTTAATTCCAAACTCTTTCTCCTTCAGCTCTTGCTGTGCAAGGTCCAGAAAATGCCTACCTGAGTTGTTTTCTGCATTGACGTGGTACAGAGAGGCAGTGTGCAGGAGCATTTAAAGAACATGAGGCTGAGTGTTGGGGACCTGGGCCCTGCTTCCAGGTCTGCTGTGAACCAGCTGTATGACCCTGAGCAGTGCATCTCACTGCCTCTAACAAAATTACAACAGGAGGCGGTGTATACCTGCTTTTCAGGAACCCCCAGCTTCAACATGCCGAAACTCCAAATTGCTGGGGCCTGAAAGGCCCCTGTCCCAGTGATGTGTAATTAAAGGAGTCCAGAGAGGGCAGTGCTTAGCCTATTATATTAGCCCTAGTGCTGGGCTCTTGGGCACTGTGTCAACCAGGCAGTAAACATACTTGTGAGGTAGGAGCCTTGTAGACATTTATATAGACAACCTATTGATGTCTTCATGAGCGAGGCCATTCTTGTGTGCACACCTGTCCTCAGGGTTTCCAGCCTCAGCTATTTAATTCTAATCCCAGCTGGCCACTTCCTTAGTGTGTGTCACGGGCAAGTTACTCCTTAGAACTCAGGTTTTGCATCTGTCAAATGGAGAGAGTAATTCCCATCCCCACCTCTGCTGGCAGAGTTGTGAGGAGTAGCTGCATGTATCAGGAGGACAGGGCCTGGCCCTAAGACTGGCCTGACTCAGTTTTCCCCAAGTACAGGGTCTGTAGGATCCATAGTGCCACAGATGGTAGAGCTAGTGAGGTCCTGGGGGCCTTTCCAGTCCTGCCTGCACATTATACAGATGGGGAGACTGAGGCCCAGAGAGGAGGAAGGGTATGGGGGGAGGCAGGGTCAGCTCTAGACACCTGGCCTGCTGGGGGCTGGGGCCAAGGGGAGGCTGACCCCACCTCCTCTCTTTCCAGCGACGCTTTTGATTTCAACTACAGTGTGTGTGTCATGAGGATGCGGGAGGGGCTCAACATCTCGAAGGTGATGCAGGCGCACAGTGAGTGCACACCCCACTTTCTTGACACCTCATCACAATCAGAGCAGGATATCAGGAAGTTCTAGAACACATTTTTTTTAAGTGGTACAGGGAAGACAGGGGGAAATTAGTAAATAAAAGGTCACAGACTCCTAGAAAGTCAGCTTTTGATGTAGATCATCAGGTTTCTAAATGGAGAAACTGAGGTCCAGAAAGGGGATGTGACGAGCTCAGGGTCTTACTTCCAGCTGGGGCCAGAACCAGAACTGGACCCCAGAGGTCCCCGAATCACGATAAGAACTTTTGTAACCAGTGGGATAAAGAGGATCTAATAGCCAGGAAAAAGGAAAACAGGGGTGAGAGAGGGTCACGTAAAGACAACAGAGTATGAAAGCACACCCAGAAAGGCCATGAAAACTGGGTGTTTTGGTCTCCAAAACCAGGATTGGGGCACTGAGTAGGGATGTGTGTTACATGTAAAGTCACATGTAAACAGGCAGATCTGAATGAGTAATTTTTAGAGGTGTGAAAGAAAGAGCGCATATGAAGACAAACGGGGAGGCAGTGCTGAGGGAACCGGGAGGTGTGAACGCCGCAGGCTGGCCTGAGTCTTGTTCATCCAGGTCACCGAGGGCATGCCTGGCACCCAGCGGTAGTTTACTGAATATTTATGCAACCAGAATTTACAGAGCAGTGGCCACACTCCTGACCGAGGCTGCTCTAGGCGCTGGGCGTGCAGCAGGGAGCCAAACAAAGTCTGCCCTTGAGGAGCTGACATTCAGGCGGGAAACACACGGACACAGGACTCACTTCAGGCAGCGACAGCATCCTGAGGAGGTGTCCTGAGGAGGCCAACACAGGGCATGCGGGCAGGAGGGCCTCTCTGAGGAGGGGGCTTGTGGCTAGAAGGGGAGGGCTGGGGAAAGAGGGCTCCCGGCCCAGGGACCACTCACCACGCCACCCACCACTGAGGCCTGGTGGGAAGGAGCGTAGCCTGTCTGAGCAGCAGAAGGAAGCCGGGTGGGGCCGAAGCATGAAAGGAGGCAGAGGCCAGATCTGTGGAAGCTGAGAGTCAGGACCTTCTTCCCAGGGTAAGGGGGAGCCCGGAAGAGCCCCAGGCATGAGAGCCTGGGAACAGAGCTCCCCCTTTTTTGCAGTTAACCCCGTGTTTGACCCAGCGGAGGATGGCAAGGAAGCCAGAGCCAGTGGAGCCAGGCTGTCTGTCTCCGGCACGGGTCAGTCCACCCACTCAGGGGCTCAGGGCCCTCACCCTGGGGGCAGCTAGTGACAGGCCACCGGGGAACCTGGGCAAGGGCAGGAGGTTTTCGCTCGTGACAGCGGTGCCTGAGACCCCTGGGATTGAGCAACAGGGAGTCGGGGGGTGGGGCGGGGAGCAGGATAAAGACTGCCAGCCCTGCTGGAGAATTCAGTGTCCAGGCATCATGGGACCCCTACCCAGTGAGCTCTGGAGCCCAAGTCCCAACCCCTCCGAGGCCCCCCTGGCCAGGCTCCAACCGGGAGGGGCAGCGATTCTCTGGCAGGCAGGGGAACCTGCAGTGCAGGAGCTGGGGGCATCCTGTGTGCATCTGTGAGGGGCACAGTGGAGTTGTTAAGAGAATGACCCCAACCCCCCCCAGTGCCAACCAGAATCCCAGGAGAGAGAAGCTGGGAGCAGGGGAGGGGCGCATCCCAGCCCTGCCCATCCCGGGTCCCTGCTCCTGCAGTCTCGGCATCAGGAGGGCCCACTGGCGGTGTTCCGGGCCAGTCCCCCAGTGCATGCCTGCAGCAGGGGCTTCCGGCCACCACGTGCACAGCCCCAGTGACGGCAAGCCCACCTCCCAGGGCAGCTCGCTCTGTTTTCAGACACACTCGGGTATTTGGATGGGCTCTGTTCCCATGTGACCTGCCCCTCTGCTCCTGCAGTGGACCCCGAGGGCCTGGTGCAGGAAGAGCAGGCCAGCACCATCTTCCAGTCGGAGCAGGGAAAGAAGACCATCGACATCTACTGGCTATTCGACGATGGAGGTCAGCGCCCCCAGGACGCCGGATCCCCCCGAGCCGTCTCCCCTCTATAACTTACTCTCTCAGCATGCCCCTCCTGGTCACTCTCGACAAGGCTTCTGGTGGGACCTTGGAGCCCAGCAAAGGGAAATAGGGGCCCCTGGGCTCACAGGAGCCTGGCTGGGCCCCTCTCTTGGCCCCATGCTTTTCAACTATAAAATGGGAGACTTAGGGGAGTAGCTGAGGTCAACATGAGGTGGAACCTTCAGACTGGACAGGCCCTTGGGGTCACAGGCACATGACCTCAATGGGAGAGATGGTCTGGTGCACAGGAAAGCTGTAGGGATATCCTTCACTTCCCAAAGAAAAACACTCTCTCCCATTTTTCTTAAAGCATATCATTCTCAGCTTTATTGTTCCCACCCTGATTGAGCCCTAGATACAGAGAAAATGTTCTGTTCCAGTAAGGTATACCCTATTGTATATAGGATGTGATAGATAGTATTGAATGAGCACTGACTGTATGCTAGACACTAAGTGCTTGCACGGGTTAACCTAGCGCAATCCCCAGGTAGGAACGATTATTAACCCCCTTTACAAATAGGAAACTGAGGCACAGAGTCGTGAGGTCATTTGTGGATTACACAGTGATAAGTGACGGCGATCGAGATTTACGTGTGAAATAGCCCAATTGTTAAATGCCAGCTCACTTGTTAAAAGCATCGTGCAGGCCACATAAACCCCAGCCCACAGAGCCCCGCGTTTCACCCCTGGTTTAGTCTGGCACACTCATTACAGAGGTGGGTACACTGAGGCCCAGAGAGGGGAAGCGGTTTGCTAGTGGCAGAGCGGGGCGGGAACTCAGAGAGGGCTGGATCCTGAGAGCATTTTCCTCTTGACTCATGAGACCCTCCTTGCCAGGCCTCACCCTCCTCATCCCCTATCTCCTCGGCCGCAAGAAGAGATGGAGTAAATGCAGGACCCGCGTGTTCGTGGGGGGCCAGATCAACAGGCTGGACCAGGAGAGAAAGGCGTAAGTGGGGGGCACTGTGTGGGTCGCACGGGAGCGGTAGGTGTCACCCCAGCACTGCCCCAGCCTGCCTCCCCCACTCCACTGCCCCCGGGGGCTTGCCCCTCTCAGGTCACAGCTGTGGTGAGGAAGCTCTGGGCAGGAGCAGGTTTCTCTCCATTTCAGAGGTGGTTTTGGTGTCCTGTCCCCCTTTAATAATATGCACATGCCCTAGTCCCGGCCATGACAGGGAGAGCTGTTAAATTTTAAACCCACAAACCTCAAGGAGATTTGTGTGAAATGAAGGATGGAGAAGGCCCCTCCTCCTCAGAAATGAGGCGGAGCTTAGAATCTTTCAGAGCAATGTCCCCCCAAGCTTGGGTTGCTGCCCGTGGTGAGACCAGAGGTGACTTCAGTGGCCAGGATAAGGGGCAGAAAATCCTGAAGAATCTCTTGGTGAGAAGTGACTTAATTCTCCAATTCTGTGGCTAATTCTCTGTCTAAACAAGAGGAAGCAGGCCTGGCTGGAGTGCTTGGCAGGAAATGGGATCCACCAGAATTTAGTGACATTGGTTTACTGGCTTTATTGGTCATATCTTTCTGGCAAGAGATGCTGGTTTTCTGTTTAAATTGTGATGACAATTTCCTTTCAGGATGTATCTAAGTAAGAATGTGAGTTGACTTAAGCTGAGAAGGAAGTAAATAGTAGGCAGGTACACAGGTGTGGAGGTGGCAGGAATTGGGCAGGTGGCACATATGTGCCTAGATTTGGGCACCTGCTTCTTTAGAGCAAGGTCAAGTGAGGTCTAAGGTTGTAGGATGGAGGACTGCTGGAGGGTGCAGCCGGGCTGGGAAGGACGGGGTGGGTGGCTTGCCTCAAATCATGCAGTTAATTAACCAGAGAGAAAACCCTGTCCAGCCTTTAGTGCCCACCATGACGCCCCAGGGTCAGGACCCCATGGCTTGTGCCACTTTAGTCCTATGCCAGGACCACATCCCCACCACGAATCACCCACTGCGTGAGTTAAGGGTGACCAGCAATCCCATCTCGTCGTCCTCACCCCCGACTGAGAATCTCTCTACCAGAGGGCCCTTCTCAGCAATGCAGAGGAGGGCACTGCCTGGGAGGCGCAGCACCCACTTCCCTGTGCTCTCCAAAAGATAAACACGCCTCGAAGACTGCTTTGCCCTCTCGGCTTCCTGTTCCAGCTCCAACCGAAAGCTGGGTTCAGCAGGTTTAGTTTAGTTCAAGGCTGCAGCACTGTGGGGTCACAGGATGTCTTTCAAGCAAAGGGTGTGAAATCTCCTCTGCCCCCCAGCTGACTCTTGACCAGGCCACGTCCTGTGCCTTCCTCATGACTGCCTCCACCCAGGCCCTGCCCAGGCCTGCCAACCAGCACCGCACACCAAGATGTTTGCCCACAGCTCTGCGTTCCTAAGTTCACTCCCAAGTTCAGGGACCAGCAGTGGCTTCACAGCTGGGCCCCAGCCTGCTCTGTCGGGCTTATCTCCTTTTTGTCCCCTAGCGTGCTCCACACCATGCCCTGCACCCTCATGTCTTTGGTCATTTGGACTCCCCTCCTGGGGTGCTCACTCCCCACCACCTAGTCCTGGGGCATCACCAACGCTGTGTCCTGCCCCGGGATTCTGATGCAATGGGCGGGCTAGGGCCGAGGCACGTGTACTGTTTGGAAGGCTCCTTGAGTGATTCCAGTGCGGACACCCTCTTTGGCCTATAAGTCTTACCCACCATTCACCATCCAGCCAGATCACCAACTCCTCTGTGAAGCCTTCCCTGACTGCCGCAAACCACAGTTGGCGTCTCCTCCCTGTGGATGCAAAGTCAGGGCCATCTGGCTTGCTGCTCCTGGTTCTGTACTCAGTTCGTGTGTGTTATCTGTTTCCTCAGCCACCTGAGGAGTTTCCTGCAGTTCGCCTCCCGTCCCTTAGACCCTTCCTTCTCAAAGGGTGGCCGGTGAACCAGCAGGCCTCACATAACCTGGGAGCTGGTGAGAAATGCAGAATCTCAGGTCCCAGCCCAGACCAGCTGGGTCAGAATCTGCCCTGTAACACAATCCCCAGCAGGTGCTCAGACATTAAAATGTGAGGCGCCCTAGTCCAGAGGTGGCCACCAGATACTTAGGACAATTCCTTTCCCATGTCACTCATCATCACCTGACCTGCTTTATCAGTATTTATTTATTGTCTGCCCTCCTCCCAGGTTAGAATGTAAACTCCCCGAGGGCAGGGTTTGTTTTGCTTGCTGCTATATCCTCCACAGGAGCTCAATAAAAACTCAATGAATGAATGAATACATTAAAAAAAAAAAAAATCTCCATCTCCCAGGATCATTTCTCTGCTGAGCAAGTTCCGGCTAGGATTCCACGAAGTTCACATCCTTCCCGACATCAACCAGAAGCCGCAGGCTGAGCAGTGAGTTTTCTGTGCTGGGGGTTCCAGGCAGAAGGGTCAACTCTTTCTCTCTGGTGAACCAAGGGCAAGGACATGGTCCTTCCTGCCCCCACCTAGACTGGGCTCATGGAAAGAAAGAGGAAGGGTCGAGTGTGCAGCCGTTAATTTCTGTTTGTGTTTCTTCCCCCTGCCTGCTGGTCCTTTGCATATCAGAGCTGTGGTCTTTGCCAGAAACACACCTGGGCGGGAGGCCAAAGAATGTTCACATTTATGCTTTATCACACACCAAGTGTTTTTGAAGCTCTTACTGGTACAAATCATGGCTATCCTGCCCCTTGAGCAGAAGCCGGTGTTTCATCTGCCAGGGACCCCACCACCTACCCCACAGACCTGGGGGCTGAGGGAGTCTCCAGCTTCACACTTCAGGAACCCAGGCTGCTTGCTATTCACAAAAGGCTGATTTTACCTACACTGGTTTTCTTCAGATTTGTGGCTTCTGCCTGCTTGTAGCTTCCGAGCTCTTTCTGTGTCTCGAACTTTCCCTGCAGTCCCAATCCACTACAAGCTGCCTCCTTCCTTCTCTGGGCATTGCTTAATTTAAGTGCCTAAAAAAGGGACTGTGACTGGCCCAGCTCACCCCTTCCTGCCAAGCTAAGGTAAAGGCCACTGGAAGGCCTATTTCTTGGCTACCTTTGGTCCAGTTGGCTGTGGCCAGGAATGGCAGAATCATATGCCCCGAAATACACAGCTAAAGGGTAGCTCCTTCTGTAGGGGCCATGGCAGAGGCACGTCCCCTCCACAGGGCTGAGGGATGCTGGAGCAAACAGAACGGAAGGTGCAAAGGCCCTGAGGCAGAAACATGGCAGCTGCGGCCCCTGATGTTATATTAACCCACTGGCACTTGGAGCGGGGAAGATGTCGAATGGTCTGAGGGACCACTCCCCCTGCCTGCCCATGCAATGGCAAGTGGGCGGACTTTAAGCAAACTCCTGTGTGAATTTGTATCAGGGCTCAATTGTGGGGCCAGAAGGGATGATTTACTCTCCTAATGGTTCAATTTTATATTCTTAAAAGAAGACATTTACAATAGGATTGCTTTATCTCAGTCTGTCTACGTGAGGTTTTCTAGGACTCTATCTTCTCAATAAAGTAAGGTCTGTCCTGACCTCTTTAGCCCTTGTTTACCTGGAGAGGGAAGGAAATCAAGAAGAGAAGAAAGGAACTATTTAATAGTGATGAATATACTGACTCTCCCATTCTCTCAGGGCTGTGCTTGAGCTGCAGGGGCAGAGATGAGGAAATTGCAGCCCTGCCCTGCAGGGTTTACCCCGGCTTAGGTGTAGGGAGGACATCAAGAGCCATCAGAATGCTGCAGACAGGGGCCAGAATGCACAGGAGGATATAGGGTCGTCTCTGCTGGTGGAGGAGTAGAGCCTTGAGAAAGGCCGTGAACAGAGATGCGGGAAGACCTTCCTCAGTGGAGAGGATCGCGCAAGCCAGCGTGCAGACCGCATCCAGCACATATTATCTTTAAGCCCCCCTTTGCCCCTGCATCTGCCTCCACCTCCTGGACCATTTCTCTCCTCCCTTGCCCAGCGAACCTTCTCCAAAGTGATGCTACACTCTTTGTGGCCGCTTCCTCCCCATCCCTCATTCTCCAGCTCTCTCTAGTCTGGCTGCCCTCCCACTGCTCCACTGAAATCATTCTCTCCAGCCTCGGCCGTGACCTCCGCACCACCAGATCCGCAGAGCCCACTGCTGTCCTCATCTTTCTCTGCCTCTCAGCGGCATTTGACACAGTGATCCTTCTTGAAACAGTCCTTCTTTTGGCTTCTAAGACGGCACCCTCTCCTGGTTCCCGCCTACCTCTGTGGTCCTCCTTTCAGTACCCTTTGCTGGCTCTTTCTCCTTTACCTGACTTACACTGGTTGGCATCCCATTCTCCCCTGCACTTGCCTTGCTCTGGACTCATGGGCTCCTTCGCTGCTCCTCAAACAGCCCAAGCATGCTTCTGCCTCAGGGCCTTTGCACCTTCAGTTCTGTTTGCTCCAGCACCCCCTGCCCTGTGCATAGCTGGTTTCAGAAGGACAGGCATCCTTGGGTCCAGGGAGTTCTTCCTGCCCAATTAGTCCCCATCCCGGTACTCAGTTTGTGCCTTCATAATACTTCCAATCTGTATTTATTTGCTTATTTGTTGCCCAGCAGACCGTGAGCTCTGTGAGGATGGGGTATGTTGTCTGGTTTGTTCACTGTTGTGTAGCACAGAGCCTGGCACAGAATAGTGCTCAGTAAATACCTGGGGGATGGACAGGTGGATGGAGGTGGATCACAGGTTGGTCTTCGTGGACGACTTGTGGAAGTTCTGTTGAAAGTCAGACCCACCCGTCAGCGCTGAATTCAACACAGAGGCTGCTTTGATGTGAAAGGCAGCATCAGAATGGGTTTTAGCCTGAAATGTATGTCCCCGTGGCACCCACTTCCATCTCCCTCTGAGGACCTGGTTCCCCTGGAAACGGGCATCTCATCTGGTCTCACTTGCTCTCTCTGTCCCCAGCACCAAGCGGTTTGAGGACATGATTGCGCCCTTCCGCCTGAATGATGGTTTCAAAGACGAGGCCACGGTCATGGAGATGAGGCGGGACTGCCCCTGGAAGATCTCGGATGAGGAGATTAACAAGAATAGAGTCAAGGTGCAGGAGAGAGAAGGGCCTTGCTGGTGTGGGGTGGGGGTCCAGGGGCTCCCAGGGGTCAGCACCTGTGCCCCATCTGTCCTGGGCTTCCTTAACCCCCTCCCCAACCCTCGATTCTACTCTCCCTGCCCCAAGCCTCTGAGGTGTCCTCAAGCCGTACATGCTCGGGCTGACGGGTGACCCAGTGGTTGATTTCGGAGCCTCCTTGGCGTGGGAGCCTGGTCCCCCTGCCCATTTTGAGTCACTGCCCCCTGGCCGTGGCAATGGACTGCCTGGAGTCCTTCTCCCTCCCCTCCCCTGTTCCTCCATGTGTGCAGGAAGGGATGCATAAGGCAGGTGGTGAAGGTCAAGGCACAATTTGTCCTGTGGGCCAACAAAGCTGGCTGATCTTCTCCCCTTAGCTGTAGACCCTGCCCCGCTTCCCAGGCAGCATCGTCAGGACGCTGATAGGGCCTAAAGGAGAGTGGTGGCTGCCAAGGCCATTTTTAGGTGGGGTGAGCAGTTGGGGGCCTGGGGACCACAGTTTTGCTCCCCGTGTACTCTGGGTCAGTGGTTCTGAGGGGCAGTGTGACATCTGGTGACTTCTGGAGACATTTTTGGCTGTCACCTCCGGTGGGGGGCGGACGGGATTGCTACTGTCATTTAGCGAGTAGAGGCCTGGATGCTGCTAAACATCCTCTAACCCACCGGTCCACAACGAAGAATGATTCCACCCAAAATGCCGACCTTGTGACATTTACGTGAATTCACTTCCGCTTGGTTTTCCATTCTCTCACGCGGGGTGGCCCGTCCACTATGAGACCCTGAGTGTCAGTCGTTTCTGAACAATTTGGAGACAGGCCTTGGGGTGGGAGGGAGCCCCACACAACCCAGCGCCCCCCCAGCTTTGGGGAATTCCCTGACCCAGCAGCCCTGAGGCCCCTCCCACAGCTGCCCAGATCCTTGGAAAACGCTGAGTAAAGCATCGTGTCCACAGAAGGCTCTTGGCTACTCTGTTCCGGGAGAGGTAGAGCAGCTCCGCCCCTGCTCCAAGTCCGCCTGATCAAGTGCTTCCCCTCGGCCTGGAGCTTTTGCATAGATTATCTCCCTCAGGCCTCCCCAAATTCCCCGGGAGAGGGCACTGTTGTACCCATTGCACAGCTGTGGACAGTGATGCTCAGGGAGGTGAGTTACCTGCTCAGGCTCTCTGCCAGGAACCCTCAGGGCTGAGATTTGAACCCAGCTTTCCCAGCCATGTGAGGGGTTCTTCCCTGCCATGATCCTGCTGGTCATGGTAATAAAGTCAGGAAGGAAACACCCAGGGGGCTTCTCCAGGAGGTGAGCTTGGCATTCACTTACCTTCTTGGGGGTGGGAGAGTCTATAATAATTTAGGGGCAACAATTCACACACCTGGTTTGAGATGTTCAAAGAGGCCACTGGGCTTGGCCAGGACCACTCACCAGACATGGGAAGTGACCACGTGGCTTTTCCTCGCCCAGTCCCTTCGGCAGGTGAGGCTGAACGAGATTCTGCTAGATTACTCCCGGGATGCCGCTCTGGTCATCATGTAAGTAGCGCCCTGCAGAAGGAGAAGTCTGTCGCTGAGCCCAAAGGTGTCAGCTCTGCAGGGGTGGCCACTGGCTGAGGACCCAAGCCTTCCCCTGTGAGGATGCAGGGCCCCAAGCTCCTGTAAACACAGCTCGGGTGGGTTCTCAGCACGTGGCCGGGCCTGCATCTGCCCTATGCCCCTCGCCTGAGCGCCAGCTGGCAGAGGTCTTGGGGCCCCAGTGTCCCAGGTCTCACCAACTCCCCTCACCACCGCTTTTCCCTTATCCACTGCTTTTTCCTGCCAAACTTGGCTTGACAAAGGGGACCCAGCTCATTCCAGAAGAAAATCGATTCCTAGTTGTTTGGGAACCACCCAGCCCTTCTTGGCCACCGGCCACCCCCAATTGATGTTGGTGCCAGGTCTAGGCATTGGAAGCAGAGCCCGGCCCCAGCCCTGGCTGTTCCAGTCTCCGTGCCTGTCAGCTCCTCGAGCTTCCGTTGCTGCTGCTTGTGTCTGGTTAGGAGCTGCCTCGCTAGGGCAGGTATTGGCTGAGGCTGAGTGGAAGATGAGGGGAAGGTAACAGTGGCACAGGGAGTCTCAGGGTGGCAGACCATGGCTGGGAAAGGCCCAGCTCAAGAGGCAATGTGGGCATTTGCCAAGCGGAGTACCTGACATTTCCTGGGGTGAGCCACCTGCGGATTCCGGATTCCGCAGGACAGCAGGGAAGCCTGTGGAACCTGTTTGTTCGTACCCAGAAATCAAGATGGAGCACGCGATTTCTAGGGCCCCGCGTGCAATGAGAAGGTGGGGCCCCTTGTTCAAAAGTGATTAAGAATGTCAAGATAGTGACAGCAGAGCATGAAGCCCAGCCTGGGACCCTTCTCAGTGGGGGACTTTGTGAATGCACAGGTGGCTGCCCACGAAGATGGCTCTATGAAGCCATGTTTCCTGGAGCTTTTAGGAAGATCATTTTTTGTACAAAGAAAGTGCTTCGTGTTGCCTTTGATGTGGGGACTGTGGTATGAGGAAAGTGGGTTTATCTCCAAGCCTCTGGCTAACATCTTGCAGAAAATGTTTCTAGGGCCAGGTTAGCCTGGCCGTTGACTGGGTCAGACGGCAAGACGGTGGCAATGGCTTCATCCTGGGATGGCTCCCCGACTTTCTCTGGGTGTGGTACCTGTTGTGTGCCAGCCAGGGGGTGTGGGTGTGCCAAACCACCTCTTCCTGAGTGCCACCTCCAAAACAGATTTGCGTTTTGTCTCTGCCATTGACCAGCACGCTGTGTGGCCTTGGGCAGGTAACCCTCCTTCTCTGAGACTCAGTTTCCCTGATTATAGAGAAGAGTTAAACTAAATTATTTCCAAGATTCTTTTTCACGCTAACATGCTATGATTCTAAGTTTATTCGCTGCTAAAATGAGTCCATCTCTCAAGCAGTAAGATGAGGAATTTCATCCAAGGAGGTGACTACCTGCTGGCACCTCTCCCTTCCCACTCCTCCATGCCCTGGATCTCATAGGGAAAACCAATCCCCCACCCACCAGTCTTTGTGGGATTGGCTGATACAAATAATCAGGAGTCCAGTCGCCTTAGAGAAGAGGCCTGCACACAGCGTCCCACCGCATGGCGGCAGCCGCAGCTGTTGCCCAAGGGGGCCCTGGCTGTCAAACCAGCTCCACTGGGAGGGCACAGCAGCTGCGCTGCTCAGCCTCCAGCCCGGAGACGTGCCCGTAAAAGTTCACTCTGAGGGTCACCTTCATCAGAACCACCGGGAGACCGTGGAAAACGGCAAATTCCTCAATTCCTTCCAGATCAGGGCCTGGGGTGGGGCCCAGGAGCCTGCATTTCGCAGAAATTCTAAGGATGAAAAAACCCTCCCAAGCCTCCATGAAATGACAAAAATCACATTTTCCAGCACGTCAGCGCACTTGGGTTCTAGAGCAGCTTTGAGGCAGAACTGGCTCGATTGCCATCTGATAATCGGCGGTTTATCTGCTTAACGCCCGCATTTGAGCTCAACCTAACCTGCGCTGCTGGTAAAGCAGCCTTGTAACCAGCCCAACAGACTTTGACCACACTGACAGCCTACTTCTGGCATAACTTTTGGGTCTAGACCCCTCTTTCTTCTATAAAGGCTCCCTCCTCAAAGCCAAACAGTAGTAGTCAAAATAATAGTAATCGACATTGCATTTTATCGATTGAGCCTCTATGACACTCAAGGCATTGGGCCTTATTTTATTTTTTTATTTTTAAACATTTATTTTGAAGTATAGTTGATTTACAATGTTGTGTTAATTTCTGCTCTACAGCAAAGTGATTACGTTATACATATATATATATATACATTCTTTTTCATATTCTTTTCCATTATGGTTTATCATAGGCTACTTTTTTTAAGGTTTTTTTTTTTTTGATGTGGACCATTTTTAAAGTCTTTATTGAATTTGTTACAGTATTGCTTCTGTTTTATGTTTTGCTTTTTGGCCACGAGACGTGTGGGATCTTAGCTCCCCAACCAGAGCTCGAACCCACACCCCCTCCACTGGAAGGCGAAGCCTTAACCACTGGACCGCCAGGGAATTTCCTATCACAGGATATTGAATATAGCTCCCTGTGCTATATACAGTAGGACCTTGTTGTTTATCCATTCTACATATAATAGTTTGTATCTGCTAATCCCCAAATCCCAACCCACTGGGCCTTATTAATTTTCAAAACTCTATGAAGTGGTTCTATTTTACCCCCATCCCCTCCGCAGCGCACACACTTAGGAGATGAGGAAACTGAGTCTCAGAGAAATTCAGCACCTGCCGGGATCTCACAGCTGTCAAGTGGCAACTGGGTTTTGAAGCCTGAGATGCTGATTCTGAAGCACGGTTATATTTCCGCATCTAGGTTTGATCCAAGGCTGCCTTTCTTTGTGGCTAAGAGATGCAGTTCTAAACAAGAAGCTCCTTTGTTCTGGAGCAGCTTTATTTCTAAAGATTAGTAGCTTACAGCACACACATCCTGTGAGCATAAATAGAGCGTGTCATTGGCTGGCACTGGGGGAGATTGCCGAGGGAATCAGTAGCATGGACAGGTGCACAGGGTCCGCTCCGGGAGGGAAAGGCCACAGCAGGAGCTATGGGAGTCCCCTGCCCTGGATAACGCAGCCACCAGTCCCCTCGTGGTCTTTGAAGTTTTTGTATTCAGTCCCGGAAAATGATGTAGAAGTTCCGGGAGGGCATTTCCAGCCTTTAGCGTAACTGTTAAATCAGGAAAGTTTGCTTTCCATATTCCCACTTCCCTTTTCCCTGGAAAGGCACCAGACAAACATAAACACGGTCTACTAACTAAAGTGACACTGGCTTAATGGAATGTCCTTGTTCCCACCGGGTTCCCCAATCCTGGGGACCTTGCTTTTTAAGGGAGGATAGTGTTTGTGGCAAGTGGCGCTTTGAGGATGGAATTTTAAATAAGGGACAGCTGTTTAGGGACCTCAGTTCACCTTCTCAGTGGGGGTGGGAGTTGCAGTGAGCAGGGGCCGCTGGGATGGAAAGATCCCAGGACCTCGGGTCAAGTCCCAGCTCTGCCACTCACTGGCTGGTCATCTCGAGCTGGTAAATGGTAATACGTGGTGACAGTACTGCTGACACCGTGAAGTGCTTACTCTGTGCGAGCACTGTTGTGCAGCGCCCTTCCCAAGTTGGGTTTTCATTAGAGCTTACAGGCATCCATGAAGGAGGCATGTGTGTTCTCACTTCGGGGAAGAGAAAACCGAGGCTCAGGGCCAGTGAGCCATTTGTCAAAGCCACGTGGCTGAGGGAGTGGCAAAGCCATGACTCCTACAGCTTCTCTGACCCCAGAGCCAGGCTCTGAAGCCCAGTGTCGCACAGCACCCTCCTGGCTGCCCAGTTCCCTCAGCTGTTCCCCAGGGTGGTTCTGAGGTTCAGATGAAATAGTACCTGTGGATGTACTTTGGGAAAACAAAGTGCAGTCCCACGGAAGGTGCTGGTGCCCCAGCTTCACGTAGCGCCAGCTGGCAGCTGCGATGCTGCCACCTCCAAGAGCCAAGAGCAGGACGGCTGCAGGCATCACCATGCGTCTTTGGAATCTCAGTGTGGTAGAAAAGTCACTTCCCAACATAGCCGTGAAAATGTGGCTGAAGAGCATTCCCAGGGCATGTTGTTATTTGCGCAGCATTGCAGTTCGGACAAGGGGCCCTCCCCTGGCGACAACGGAGTCCTGCTCCCAGGGACTTACCTACGGGGCAGGGAGCAGGACCAGGCCGCTCAGCTGAAACACGTGAACATATCACTTTGTTGTGGCCACAGGCAGGTGTGTAGCTGGAGAGGCGAGGCTGGCATGACCTGAGTGGTCGGATGAGTGGCATACAGCCTCACTGTGTCAGACTGTGTTCTAGGCACAGGCGGATAAGACAGACCCAGCCTGCTCGTGAGAGAACATACATCTAGTGGGGGGAGACAGACAACACACAAATAAATAAAAATAGGATTTGAGAGTGTGAAGTGCTATGAAGATAATGAAACAGGGTGACATGATGAAGAGAGATGGGAAGATGTTATCGAAGAGGGTGATCAGAGGAGGAGGTGCCCTTGAGCCAAGACCTGAGGGAATCGAAGGAGCCAACCCGGTGAAGAGCTGGGGCCACTGCCTTCTGGGTGGAAAGAACATCACATGCCAAGGCGCTGGGGCAGGAGCAAGCTTGCCGTTTTTTTCAGGAGTGGAAAGGAAGCTTCTGTGACTGTAGCGGTGTGAGCGAGGTTGCGGGTGGTGGGAGGTGAGGTTTTGGAGGCTGGTGGGGACCAGATCATGGGGACCTTGCAGGCCATGGCTTTGTTTAGAAATGCGTTGTGGGAGTTCCCTGGCGGTCCAGTGGTTAGGACTCAGCGCTTTCACTGCCGGGGCTCAGGTTCGATATCTGGTCGTGGAACTAAGATCCTACAAACTGTGGGGCGCGGCCAAAAAAAAAAAAGAAAAGAAATGCTTTGCGGCTGAAGGTACACTTCAGGTCATGCTTTCAAGGAGAGCAGCAGGTCATTCTTAGGGTGGCTGGGAAGAAAGAGCTCTGAAGGGGCCAATAAACAGAGACGCTGTTCAGAAAGCAAACCAGGAACTGGGCCGTGTGGGGAAGGCCCCTTGGTAATTCCCCATCTGCTGCTTCTTCCTGCCCCACAGCACCTTGCCCATAGGGAGGAAGGGGAAGTGCCCGAGCTCGCTCTACATGGCCTGGCTGGAGACGCTGTCCCAGGACCTCAGACCTCCGGTCATCCTGATCCGAGGAAACCAGGAAAACGTGCTCACCTTTTACTGCCAGTAACTCCGGGCTTGGCTGTGCCTGCCCAAAGCCAGGATGCAGGGGATGCCCACCTGTCCACGGGGACAGGACACATGCCCCAACGCACTTTAAGTGGTAGCATCTGATGACCTCATGGAAGAAGCTGGTAGATTTCCAAATTTCAGCTGGACCCCACTCCCCTCAGACAAGTCCTCTGGGCTTTGTTTTTCTGGGCTGGAGAAGTAGCAGGTGGAGCTGTCTGGAAAACTCTCTGGTGGATTCATATTCCTTTTAAGTTTTCTTTTGCTCTTGATTACAACAAATTAAGATTTCAATCTTTGATTTGTATACAAATTTTAGTCAGAGTGCTGAGTGTGAATTTTGGCCGTTTCTACAGACCTTTCCTGGGAGCACCCCCTAAACACTCCTCCCCCCTCCAATATCAGGAGAGTGGGCACCCCACCTACAGCCCTTACAGGGGGAATACAGGGGCTCGTTGAGCCTCCATAACAATGCAAATTTATTTAACCACCTCTCACTTCCTTTGCTTTCAATAGCACGTCTTCAGTGTTTTGGTTGGTTCTTTGGTAGACCGGGACTTTCAAACATTTTCAGACTGCAACCCACAGTAAGAAATCTATTTTACATTGAGGTTTGGAACAAACACAGTGAAACTGAAGTGTCACAAAACAATCCTTATCCTTACTATGAGTGATGCACTTTGGTATTTTCTATTCTTTCTACTTCTTGTTCTCCTTTTAATGTTGGTTGCAATCCACTAAAATGAGTTTGGGATCCACTAATGGGTGCTGACTCATGATTTGAAAAATACAGCTTAGACTTTCTTCTGTGCCCTGTGTTTTTCTATACAACAGGGAGTTCATCTAGTTGGAGAAAGGCCATGGTGGGCATCACTGGCATTTTCCCGAGCTCATCCCACAGGGAAGGAAAGGGAACCAACAAAAACACCAGGAGGAGGGGTATGGATGGTGGGTGTGTCAGGAAAGAGCTTCAAAGGAGGGGCATGGTTTAGGGAGTCTCATGCAGGGGTGTTAAATTTCAGGTTTGGTTGGGGGTGCAGGTTTGGTGGGTCAGGAATGGGGAAGCAGAGAGGTGGGTGTAAAGATGGCAACATTGGGCAAAGAATCAGAAAGGTCCAAACCCAGCCCAAGGCTGGGGGGAAGGACAGGGAGGAGGAACCACCAGTAAGAGATGGAAACAGAGTAAGTAGCAGAGGGGCTGCAGTGCGGGGAACGTAAGATGGGGCTCAGAGACGAGAGAGAACCTGGGGGAGATGAACCTTGCTCAGGTAAGTGTGTTCAGGCTACTGTGGATGGAACCCCCCAGAGTGTTTGCACCGCCACCTGGGATGCAGGAGCAGAATGTACATTAAGATATGTCCAATGCTGGTGCGTGAGGCTCTCTGAAAGGGCATTTCAGCTCAGACGTACCCAAGCGGCATAAAGGTGAGCTGTTGGGGGATTCCACTGGCTGAGCCTTCTTCCAATTGCACTGGGGTAGCCAAGGAACCAGGCATCTTTGGGTCTGGTTGACCCCCTCCAAGTGCACTGAAGCACCCACTTAGTCATGAAGGCGAAAGTCCCTTTCTTGGGGTTGGGACTCAAAGGACTTTAGTGTTCGTCCCACTACAGAGACCAAGGCCCTGGGTTCCCAGGCTGTGATAAGCCCCACTGTCCTGTTATTACATCAGGCCTTTGCTGAGGGAGCCAGAGCGCCTGGCTGAGCTCCTGAAGGACGGAGAGGGGGCTGCCTCTGAGCCGTTCAGTGGACCTGGACCAACTCTAACTCCAGGTAAGGCAAAGGCTCCATCAGGGAATGCTTGCCTTTCTAGAGCCGCATGGAAAACCATTTCCTGGCAAACAGGTGCTCCCTCTTCTGACCTCAGGGAGTCACTGATCCAAGAACAGAGAATGCTTTGCCTTTGGGAATTAAAAAAAAAAAAATTCACCGTGTTGGAAACCAAATTTTGAACAATGATAATAGCTTTGTTTAAAAAAAACAAAGGCTTTGGGGACTTCCCTGGTGGTGCAGTGGTTAAGAATCCGCCTGCCCATGCAGGGGACACGGGTTCGATGCCTGATCTGGGAAGATCCCACACGCCGCGGAGCAACTAAGCTTGTGAGCTACAACTACTGAGCCTGCGTGCCACAACTACTGAAGCCCGTGCGCCTAGAGCCCGTGCTCCGCAACAAGAGAAGCCACTGCAATGAGAAGCCCATGAACCACAGTGAAGAGTAGCCCCCCACTCTCCACAATTAGAGAAAAGCGCACACACAGCAACGAAGACCCAATGCAGACAAAAATAAATAAATAAATAAAATTTTAAAAGCCTTGGACTTCCCTGGTGGCGCAGTGGTTAAGAATCCGCCTGCCAGTGCAGGGGACATGAGTTCGAGCCCTAGCCTGGGAAGATCCCACATGCCGCAGAGCAACTAAGCCCCTGTGCCACAACTACTGAGCCTGCGCTCTAGAGCCTGTGAGCCACAACTACTGAGTCCATGTGTCACAACTACTGAAGCCCGCGTGCCTAGAGCCCGTGCTCCACAACAAAAGAAGCCACGGCAATGAGAAGCCCATGCACCACAATGAAGAGCAGCCCCCGCTTACCGCAACTAGAGAAAGCCCACGCACAGCAACAAAGACCCAACGCAGCCAAAAATAAATTTAATTAATTAAAAAAAATTTTTTTAAAGCCTTGAGTTAACAGTAAGGTGAAAAACAATGAAATGAATAAAAATACATTTATTCAGTCAACAGAATTCATTTGTTTTGGAACACACTGTGTTTCAACTATGCTGAGTGTTATGAAAAAACTGTGTTGTTTTTTCAACCCTGGATTGAACTTTGTGCTGAGCTTCCACTGGTTCTACAGGTCATATTGCCAGATTTCCACATGGACATTTACAGAAGCCACTTATTTTCCCTTCGCTTCTCTTACATGTCTTTGCAGACACACAGGGAACCTGTTTTCTTCAGTCTTTTTTTTTCTTTGGTGGCCATGCCGCGCGCCATGCAAGATCTTAGTTTCCCAACCAGGGATCGAACCTGTGACCGCTGCAGTGGGAGCACAGAGCCTTAATCACTGGACCACCAGGGAAGTCCCTTTAGTCTTTTAAAAAGTCTCCCAGAATTTTCAATCTTGCCTCAAACCGAGGGGCAGAGAGATTGAGTGGAAAGAGCCACAGCATGGCCACCAAGGAACCTGGACTTGAGTTTCTGTCTCCTCCCAAAACTGGCTTGTGACCTCAGCTACGCCCCCTTAACCTCTCTGAGCTTCGGTCTGTGAAATGAGAGAATTGGACCAAAGCATGTGTCACCAGCCAGCTGGCCTGCTGCTGACTGTGGTTTGGCCCACGCGTGATTGATCAAAGTTGTGGAAGTGAGGGGAGGCATCAGGGGGAGGACACATTCTTCAGTCCCCCCCACTTGGCCCATCACTTCCTGCTGCCCTACTGCGTGCTCAGAGGCTCTGAAGGCCCTCCAAGTCATTGTTGGGCATATTGGGCCCTGAGAGGGTACGAGATTTTGGTCTACAGTGTGTGTGTGTCTTTCTCTGCTTTTGGACGAGTAGATACTCCACATCAGTGAGTAGTCTACCCTTGCACTGTGCATGGAAAGCCACAGAGAGCTGGGTCATCAGAGCTGGGACCCAGCCCCCACCAGCAACCACAACGGCCACTGCAGAAGGGACTCCTCATTTATCTCCCCCAGGATCCACTGCTCAGATGACTCCTGATTTTCCCCTTGACATTTCAGCCTCCAGATTTCACATCCTCTTTCAGTTCCTGCCCAGACTTGTCATGGCTTTGACGTAAGTACAGCAGCGCCTGTTTTCCACCAGATAAGGCTCTCTGAGCTCCGCCTCCTAGGTCTCATTAGAGCATGGAGAGCCCCATTTGGACTGAATTCCCTTTTACACACCTGCCTAGCCTCTCGTGTGGCTAGGAGGGAGAGGTGGGTTTCACAGGGAAGAGAATAGCTGGAACGTTCCAGAAGAACCACCTGGCTGGGAGGCCCCCAAGCACATGCAAAACAGCCAGGTTTCACTTGTAGATGTGTATAGCTCAGGGTATCAGAAAATACATACCGCCCACTTCAAAAGTGTTTACAGAAACGGGGCCCAGGAAAGCCCAGCCACCGGCTTCATTGTTAATTGGCCACTTGAAGTGAGGGTCAACCTTATGACTAAAAACACAAGCATGACATGAGCGTCCCTTCCTGAAAGGGAGCCACAACAAACTCAATTTCTAAAAATACCATGTGGTAGAGCGTTAAGAAGAACCACCTGGCTGGGAGGCCGAAGAGCAGAACATCATACGGACAAAAGATGGTGGCAAGAAAGGACAAGTGTTTTCATTTTCTCATAGGAGAGTTACAAAATAAAACACTCTAAGGATGCAAAAGAGGGAGCAAACACTAAGGTCAAGGGAATTAAGAAACTCTCTCTAGAGAAAATGGTATTTAAAATAGGTTTGAACAGTTGATAGGATTCTATAGACAGAGATGGGAGCCGGGATTGGGAGAAGGTAACCCAAGTGGCAGGATGCCTTGAGCAAGGACCAACTTACTAGGTGTGTTTGGAGAACAAGAAATAAACCAGTCTTCCTGGTGTATGAGGGATGCATACCCGGGGAGAATAAGACTGAGAAGGTTGTAGTGTGCAAGGCCCCCACTGAGAGGCTGAGGAGCTCAGGACAGACTCAGGGGCGCTGGAGAGCCACTGAAGGGGAAGGGGCAATGGGAGCCTGAGGAAGCTTGGCCAGACAGGAGATGAAGGAGGCTGGAGGAGAAAAGGCAGGGCACCCAGAGAGGAGGCTGTGCAGAATTGCAAAGGCAAGTCAGCAGGTCTCAACACTCTCAGAGTGGCGAAGAGCAGGGAAAAGAGGAGGAAGAATAGTATCTTCCAGAGCTGGGAATTGCCTGGATGTATGTGTGGGAGTAACAGGACCCCAGGAGTTGGGCCTGGGCAGCTGTAAGAATGAACAAACCATGTAATATGGAGGGTGAGGTAACAGGCTTTCTGCTGTAGAAAATGAGCAATTAGGTGGGTTTGGTTTTGGATACTTTAAGTATGAAGACATCCCAGTGGTCAGAATTGTGGTCCCGGAGCTCAGGAAGAGCTCAGGGTGTCCACTGTTAGCCTGACACTGTAAGAACAGAGACGATCCATAGATTTGGGAGTCAACACTAAAAGACAGGAAATCGAAGTCATACCTTGGGTGAGATCACCAAGAAAGAAAGTAAAGAGAATGGAGAGGGCTGGAGCCTGGACCTTGGCAAGGGCTACATTTAGGGGTAGGAGGAAGAATAGGCAGCCAGCAAAGCAGCCTAGAAAAGATCATTGGTGAGGCAGGAGGAGAACCCAGGTAACCAAGGGCCTTAGAAGGTACCAGAGAAGAGATCGAAAAAGCATAGAATCGTCGACCCTCATGGCAGCTGACTGCAGAAGTGAAGCCGCTGCTGAACTGCAGTTCTGGGAATCCCTGGGAGCCTTACAGGTAGTGGTTCAGGTACCAGAGATTGAGGAATAATTGCTGGAGGGGAAAGGAAAGCAGCAGCCATGCACATTGACCTGTGCTTCAGTAACCCAGCAATGGAGAGAAAGATAAGGAAAATAAGGGGAGAAAAAATAAGGTGGAAACTTGGAGGAGACTCCAAGGGAAAGGAGACTCCAGGGAAAGCGTTGTTATCTTAGGGGGTGTATCAGTCAGGATCATGGTATGCTCTGCTACAGTAATAAATTACCCACTAAATGTTAGTGGCTTACATGACAAAGATTGATTTCTCTCCTACAAATATTCCTGTGCTGGGTAAGCCCTCTTCTCCACCTCAGGACTCAGTGATCCAAACTATTCCCATCTTGGGAGGCTATCATGTCAGCCAGTAGCTTCTAACTCACTGAGGAAGGGAAAAGAGAGTAGGAGGGTCATGCCCTGGCTTTCCAATGCTTCAGCTCAGAAGTGACCTGTTACTTCCACTCAAAGTCCATTAGCCAAGGAAGTCACATGGCACCACCTCCCTGCAAGCGTCTGGAAAACTGGGGGGAACATGTGAGTATTCATCGAGCAATCCGTGTCTCTGTTACAGGTGGAAGTGATAAAGAGAGACTTGGGTGTATGTATAGGCCTGAGGGGAAAGATTTAAGATGCAATGAAGAGAATAATTGATGAAGAGGTAGTAATGGTGAATCAATAAAATGTGGCAGAAACTTTGCCAAGCAGCAGGGAAGGCATAGCTGATCTCTGCTAGTCCAAGGGTGCAAAATTCTCAGTACAGCTGCCCTGGTGCCTTTCTCTGGCAGGTCTCCTGAGCACCAAGTCAGAAAGCAAATGTGTAGAATGCAGGGGACACGTTCCCCAGTGATGGGGCTGGCCAAGCAAGAAGGATGGAAGGCCAAGGCACGAGGAATTCAAGGAGAATGACCAAAGTACATGAAAATGGCTGACCATGAGCTCGAAGATGGATGGAGACACCGGAAGTGAGCTGCAAGAGTTGAGAAGGCTTGAGGGGCTGGTAGCAGGAGGACTAAAAGTATGCTCAGTGGGAATGGGAGAGAGGGAGACAGAGAAGAATACAGGGTAGTTTGTGGTCAGTATGTGTGCATTTCAAAGTTTGAGATTCCGCAGGAGGTAAACTTTATTTTATTTTATTTTTTTAAATTTTGGGCTGCATCGGGTCTTCGTTGCTGTGCACAGGCTTTCTCTAGTTGTGGCGAGCGGGGGCTATTCTTCGTTGCGGTGCACGAGCTTCTCATTGTGGTGGCTTCTCTTGTTGTGGAGCATGGGTTGTAGGCGCGCGGGCTTCAGTAGTTGCCACGCGGGTTCAGTAGTTGTGCCCCGCAAGCTCCAGAGCGCAGGCTCAGTAGTTGTGGCGCATGGGCTTAGTTGCTCCGCGGCATGTGGGATCTTCCCAGACCAGGGCTCCAACCCATGTCCCCTGCATTGGCAGGCGGATTCTTAACCACTGCGCCACCAGGGAAGTCCCAGGAGGTAAACATTTTTGAGCAAAATCTAGGGTGTCTATCATTTGACTGTGAGCTC